ACTTCAGTCTGGGACATAGGTGGCTCAGCTCTAGTGAAAACCGTTTTGTGGAAAAAAGGTGGCAGTCTACCTTTAACGGTGCAAAATACCACCCCAAAGAGGTACATTTTCGGAATCAGCGCATCGAGGAGGCCCGGTATACCAATTTTCAGCCAAATCGAAAGACCCCGCCGTTTCCCGTTAAAATGTTAAATGGCCGTTAACTCGTTAACAGTGCAAAATACCACCCCAAAGAGGTACATTTTCGGAATCAGCGCATCAAGGAGGCCCTGGATACCAATTTTCAGCCAAATCGAAAGAACCCGCCGTTTCCCGTTAAAATGTTAACTGGCCGTTAACTCGTAAACGGTGCAAAATACCACCCCAAAGACGTACATTTTCGGAATCAGCGCATCGAGGAGGCCCTGTATACCGATTTTCAGCCAAATCGAAAGACCCCGCTGTTTCCCGTTAAAATGTTAAATGGCCGATAACTCGTTAACGGTGCAGAATACCACCCCAGAGAGGTACATTTTCGGTATCAGCGCATCGAGGAGGCCCTGGATACCAATCTTCAGCCAAATCGAAAGACCCCGCCGTTTCCCGTTAACATGTTAAATGGCCGTTAACTCGTTAACGGTGCAAAATAAAACCCCAAAGACGTACATTTTCGGAATCAGCGCATCGAGGAGGCCCTGTATACCGATTTTCAGCCAAATCGAAAGACCCCGCTGTTTCCCGTTAAAATGTTAACTGGCCGTTAACTCGTTAACGGTGCAAAATACCACCCCAAAGAGGTACATTTTCGGAATCAGCGCATCGAGGAGGCCCTGTATACCGATTTTCAGCCAAATAGAAAGACCCCGCCGTTTCCCGTTAAAATGTTAAATAGCCGTTAACTCGTTAACGGCAGTGGCGGCGCCACGAATTTTCGCCAGTGGGGGCAAGCTTGAGGTGACCCGACTGTTGTCTGATACGCCAATCTGCAAAATCCATGAGCAACTTGCCCCTAGATGTTGCCATTCAAAATTATTATGGTACTCATGTGACCTCGAATGACCTTTGGTTGACTTTGACCAGGCGCGGATACAAGGGGGGGGGGGCCATGGGGGCCATGGCCCCCCCTTGGCCGATTTTTTTCAAAAATAAAATAAAAAGTTAAAAAGCTGAAAAGGGGGCCTCCTGAAAATAAAGTGGCCGAAATCCGATGAGTTTTTTTAACCTACCCACTTAGTTATTTCTTAGAAGACTAGCTGAGAAGACTTCTTTGTTAGAAGATTGGTAAAGCTTTTCATAACTTGGAGGTCTCTTATACTCACAGAGATGACCACTTTTACAGGGCCTCCTAACCTGCACAGAGGGCCTCCAAGCCTGCACAGATGTCCTAACAAACACAAAATCTCTTAGCCTACACAGAGGCCTCCACTCGCATCCGAACAAAGGGCCTCCTAGCCAACACAGAGGGTCTCCTAACTCACACAGAAGGTCTCCTATCCTGCACAGAGGGACTCCAAGCTTGCACAGATATCCTCTTCGCCAACACAGGACCTCTTAATCTCCACAGAGGGCCTCCACTCGCATCCACTGAACAGCTAGATAAGCTCAATAGACGCAGTTTTTTTTGGGGGGGGGGCCCAACAAGTGGGAAGATGGGGCCTCCAACAGGTGGGGGGCCTCCTGGTTTCTAATGGCCCCTCCCTTGGAGATTTTCTGGATCCGCCCCTGACTTTGACACATGAAAAGTCCTTTGTGATGATTTCGTAGCCACTGATCACGATTCTGGCATCCATTTTGCTCTAGTCTAAGCATTCATTTAAATGATGGGAAACATGTCTTAATTAGGTACTAGATGCCGGCAGCGCTCTTGCGTTGCCTTGGGCCAGAATTGGATGAACGGAGCTGAGGGCACACACCGGGCAAAAAAACCACCGAAACCCAGACTGAGCTCGGACTGAACCTGAAACCAACCGAAACATCCCAAAAATGCTTGAAAGCACGTGAGATGGGTGTCCCATAAGTTCGTTTTCACCTAAATGTTACGTTTATAGGCTCTCTTGCTTAAAGGCACGCTGGAATTGGTTCGTAACTGAGCTTACGTGGTTGCCATGGCTGGTAGCAATATGCTCCACAGTAACTAATTTCTGTAGACAAAATAGCTTTTGCTAGAGAGCCCGCTTCCTACAGAGACGGCTAACGCCGCAACATAGAGGTCTCCGATACGGGTGCGTCTTGGTATTTAGTCAGCACGTGACCATTCTCGACGATTAAGGGTGATTGAGGCCTACCAGTCTGTACCCAATGTCCATCGCTAACTGGACGCACAGTCAGCAAGTGACGCCGATGATTTGTCGGGAGTCAATCACGGTGAATGAACATGAGTAGGAGAATGAGTGGGAGTAGGAGATATGCGACAGACGGTCCGAGAACGAACGTTTTGCTGATGCACTTGATACGGGGACCGTCAAAAACAGGCGTACTATTATAACCGCTTATCATGAATGTTGCACTGGTCTTCTGTTCCCTTTTCAACATCAGCCAAATTTTGTGGGGGCAAAAACATAGTCTTGCCCCCACGGCCTCCTACCAGTGGGGGCAGTCTGCCCCCACTGCCCCCACGGTGGCGCCGCCCTTGGTTAACGGTGCAAAATACCACCCCAGAGAGGTACATTTTCGGAATCAGCGCATCGAGGAGGCCCTGTATACCGATTTTCAGCCAAATAGAAAGACCCCGCCGTTTCCCGTTAAAATGTTAAATAGCCGTTAACTCGTTAACGGTGCAAAATACCACCCCAGAGAGGTACATTTTCGGAATCAGCGTATCGAGGAGGCCCTGTATACCGATTTTCAGCCAATTCGAAAGACCCCGCTGTTTCCCGTTAAAATGTTAACTGGCCGTTAACTCGTTAACGGTGCAAAATACCACCCCAAAGAGGTACATTTTCGGAATCAGCGCATCGAGGAGGCCCTGTATACCGATTTTCAGCCAAATCGAAAGACCCCGCTGTTTCCCGTTAAAATGTTAAATGGCCGATAACTCGTTAACGGTGCAAAATACCACCCCAGAGAGGTACATTTTCGGAATCAGCGCATCGAGGAGGCCCTGTATACCGATTTTCAGCCAAATCGAAAGACCCCGAAATATGCTGCTGTGAGGCTGATATTCGTTGCTGCTGAATTGATAGACGTAAACTAACCCTGCGTTCCATATGCGTTCGATGTCTCTCGGACGGCAAAGAGTCTTCGTCGTTCGGCCAATCCCGTTCAAGGTTAGCGGGAGCTCGGCTGCGGTTATGGAGCATGATTGGCCGGACGACGTAGAATCTTCGCCGTCCGAGAGACATCGAACGCGGGGTAAAAAAGTGGCTTATATTTCTGTAGTTTTCCGTCAGCAGTGAAGAGGTTGTCGGGTGGGTAGCTCGGTTTTTAGCTGGTTTTCTTATTTATCTTTCAATTTACCTGATCCAATTTTCACTGGATATCATTTTCACATGTCAGTATGCCTTTTTGTGTTTCATTGCCTTTGTTTAAACTTGCGTGTTTCTTCAGTGAAAGGCGATGATCATAACGTGATTTGATGTGAGGCGTACAGAACTGAGAACGCTGAGGACTGTTCACACCTCACGGGCACCGCACAGTGCACACTGCTGAGTGTGGTGTGTGCGGTGTGTGCTGCAGGCTTGGGGTAGGGGATGGGTAGTCGTTATGATGTCACATGGCTGCGTGTGTTGGACCTCACACAGCCAACGCTGTGGCCAGTCCCGACCGGCCACAGCGGTCGGTCACTGTATGAGGTAACCGAAGGCTGACGTAGGGATGCGGATGGCGGAGCTTGGAGGCTGTAGTGTGTACGATTCAACCTCACTCACGAGAACGCTCACATGAACAGCCCTCTGATTTGATTCAAACATACTGTCCTATCTGGTCATAAGTTTTCTATTTTGTCATGCATATTTTTTATCCTGCACAGGGGCGCGGGAACTACTTTCCGACTGGGGGGCACACCATAATAGAGATCAACCTAGGGTACCCCCAAATCTAGTTTCTCACCGGTTTTAGGCCACTTATTTTTCACCCCTCGGCTTTTCCAACAAAAAAAGAAAACATTTGCAAAAAAAAGTGTGGGATTCCGTCTCAAAGCTGTGGGGGCACCGCCCCCACGGCCCCAGAGTTGGGGGGGGGGGCAAGCTGCCCCCACTGCCCCCCGGCTCCCGCGCCTATGATCCTGCATCAATTATTTCTGATAAACAAAAAGTTTTTTTCATGTTGATGCTGTTTATGTGACTTAGCTCTGTGTCCCACATTTTCCTTTTTCACTTGCTCATCCTGCCCAATGTACCTATTGTCATTTGTCTGTTATCAAAATGTGCCTACTGATTATCCAGTCATTGTTAATCAAGCATTGCACTTCTGTGACTGTGTGTATGGCTGAAGGTACTGCAATGGATTGTGCCTTTGGATTTGAGCTACTATTTCACAAACATACTATCAATGCAGTGTTTTTCATTGCTGATAGGGATTAAACTGGGAGAGCAGAATGATGATACATGATACATTACCTACCTACCAAATTTTGATCTCCATATGAAGATTCAGATGGGGAGGCTCAAATCAGAAGTCAGAACACCACCAGGTGGCCAATTTCAGATGCTGACACAGGTTGATGCAGGTTCTTAGATGCTCTGACATAACATCTGATGGATCAGTATGGGCCTTCAATAGCTGACTGATTCTCAAAAGCTTGGTAGGGTGCCCTTAAATGGGTGTAAAGGATGTCAATTCCATGCCAATTGGGTTATGAAGGCCCATGTGGGGCTTTGACTTTGGGTCAAAGGGGACCAGCATGGGTTCAAATGGCAGTTATGGGAGTTCTCAAAACCTGTGGGGCTTTCAAAAGCCAGTATTGCTGACCTTGGCCCTCAGGCTCAAGATCCTGTATGGAACCATCACAGATTGACCTCAGTTGCTGGTGAGCTGGCTCTCAACAATCAGAGTAGGATGCTCAGAAGTCAGCATAGACCCATCAAAGGCAAAATTGGCCCAGAAAAGGTTATGCAGGCATGGGCTTTAGGCATTAGAATTCATGGGCTTTAGGCATTAGAATTTAGACCCACATGAGTGAGTGAATGCCCATAGAGATGGTATGGTGTGGGACCCTCAAAAACCTGCTTGGGACCTTGGGTGCCAGTGTAGGGCTGTTGGAGGATGACAGATGCAGTGTTCTCAGAAGCCGCCATGTGCTCTCAGAGGTTGATATGATGCCTGGAGAGGCCACTGTGACTCAGCCTTTATGGGGCTCTCAGAGCCAGGAGTGAGCCCTCAGCAGTTTGAGCCTGCCCTCAGCTGTCAGTGTGGGGCCCATTATAGGTTGTTATGGTACCAACAGAGATCAGTGTGGGCCCTTCATAAGACTCATTTGGGGTCCCCGAAGATCGGTGTAGAAACCGGGAGGTCGATGTAGAAACCGGGAGATCGGTGTAGAAACCGCACGCGGACCATTGAGCCCTAGATGGGCGATCCACACGGGGCACAAGGTAAGGTCTCTCTTTGCGCGCATGGACACGCAAACTCCACACTTTAATTTCAGTTCCCAATTTTGCGGTCACTCGTTCATGTAGGCCTACAGAACTTCTTTTTACAGAAAAGGACGCCTTCACTGTGCGTACCTCGAACATACTCGTAATACAAGTACTTAAGCCATCGTTAAGGTTTGGTGGTTGGGCCATTAGAGATCATTGACCAAGAATAGTCGGTCATCTTTCCCGATTATTTCAAGAGTCCAAAAATATTCTGCTAAAATGTTCTTACTCTTTCACACTGACACGAGCCAAAGGATATTTAACGTGCATTTAACAAGCAATGGCTATTTTATGGCCATATCGGGAGTAAGTTATCATATTTGGCCTCAGGCCAACAGCTCAGCCGCCAAAGGTTGTAAAAGGCCAAAATCACTAAGTTGAAATGAAGCTTGAACGTATGCAAAGCTCTATGGCCTCTACCCCCACTGAATGACTCTGATAACCTAAACAGCATATCGTAAAATGTATATAGAAGTATTTTGTGGTGTCGGAACTCGGAAGTCAACCTGGCCGCCCAGTAAAAATTCCTTAGCTGAGCCGCTAACCAGAGCCCTTCCTAAGCGGAGCCTGCTGCGTAGTTTCTAAATTCTATCGTCTTATCCCATAGAGAATTTCTGGCCTCTGGGTGCACCACAGAGGTGCATCCGTCAACATGATTCCTCTAGATACAAAGGTGCCGAAAACGCCGATGCTGCGCTCCAGATGCTGCCGTTATCTGTATCAGGCAGTTGAACCGCACGCCGTGTGACTCCTCTGTCGCCAGGCGCCGTGGTGTGAGCGCCGTGTGTGTGTGCCGACGGCCGACGGTATCTCTCTGATGATACCGGCGGCCTATCGGGCGCCGACCGGCCGACTGCCATGAGTGGGTCCGGCGGCGGCGGCGGCGGCTCGCCGGCCGCGGACCAGGAGTCGGCGCCGCGCTGGGCGGAAGCGGCGCTGCGCGGCTACCAGCGGCAGATCGGAGCGCTCGAGATGCCTGAGTGGGAACAGACGGTGGAGCGCCGCCGCGCCCGCGGATACGGCGGTGCGCCGCGCAAGTCGGCCAAGCCGGCCACCGGTCTCATCGACCTCGACTTGATCAGAGGTGAGGGGCTCCTAGCGGAATGGAGGCCGAGTTGGGGCAGGGCTTTGAGAGACCCTGCATGAGCCATAGAGTAGTGTAATTGGTGGCTTATATCGGTTTCGGCTTCACTTTACCAGCTGTCTTTTTATGCGTTTTGGTAGCCCATGCATGTTTTTCATGCGCTGGTGGAGTGTTGTAACTTAGTTGTCACCTTGTCAGTGCCATTTTTCTACGCCAGCGATTCAGAATTGCGTAACGATGATATTGTGATGCTTCACTGTACTCGGGTAATTTGCTTTATTTGTTTACATGACCAATGTTTTGTGTGTGTGTTTTTTTAGTGGCCTTATATTTCGTCAGCCTCTCGAGGAGGAGGCTACCCGGCTAGGCTCGGAGAGCATGACCAATGTTGAATTGATGTCGGATTGCAATCCTTCCGATTGTTTGCACTCATAGCTTGTCGTCATGCGGGGTCTTGTAAAAGTTCGATACTGCTTATCAATGATGAAAGCAAACTGTTGATCACATGCTACGGTGCTTGTAAATTCCGATCGACGTGGAACTGCTTATGACTGCTGTTCCTGTGGTGCCCCTATCACGTCATCTATGATTCATCAACCACAACAGTGTGTGAATGATTCAGACTAACCGATAGTTCCCCAGCTTCGCACACAGTAACCACCGTACTTCCCGCATCCCCGGGATCGCCAGTGCCCTGCCGGCTGTCAGTGTCCAGTGTCTCACTCCTGATCGACTGCCGGTGTTCGCAGGCTCGACGTTCCCCAAGGCGAAGCCGCAGCAGGGCATGTGGTTGGTGGTGCGACAGGGGCTGCTGCGCGCCGCGCTGCTGCCGCTCTACAGACGCTGGTGGCAGCGGCACGTCGGAGACCGCCTGTTCGTGGCCCTGCTGGCCGCCTACCTGGTCTACGTCGGCATAGCGGTGCTGCACTGCACCGCGGACGCCGCGGGGGCCACCGTGCAGGTATGTTAGGGCTGACGGAGGCAGGGCCGTGTGGGTATTTATACGGACGGCGGCGCCACGCTTCGCTTTGTATCGTGGAACATGATATAACTAGACGACGGTCACGCAGTTAATGGTGATGCTTTGACGCCATCGTCGGTTTCCATTTGAGAACGAACTGAGTGGATCACGCTTTCTGGTAACTTCCCGTTCTCACATTGCCTCACTTCTTTTGGCGATTATTAGTTGTCAGTAACCTTGCCACTACAAGGTTACTGACAACTAATAATACAACCCTTTGCCAGTAGTAATCTTGCCGAGCCTCTCATCATTCCCTGGTGTTTTACATTGCCCTTTGTCTGCTCCCGTGTCTGACCGATCTCTGTGCTGACCTGCCGACAGATCACCGCCCCGGAATTGCTGACTCCTCTGCTAGTGGCGCTGGCTCTCAGCATCCTCAAGTCGCAAATCGTCGCCTGCAACGAGTCTTACATGTCTTCCGGCGGCGCGCGCATGAAGGCCTCCTCCGTGCGGCTGAAGCGGCGACACCCGCCTCAGAGCTCCAGCTCCTGTGAGTTCAGTTGATTTCGTGAAACATGGTATTACGGTTGCTAGTCTAGCACTATATTTCAGGCTGGGGAAGTGGTGGCTGGGGGATATAGAAAGCCGACATAAGTATGGGCTTCTTATTGTTGTTATTGCTGTGCTTAGCTGATGTTTTTTTTGTAAGTGTATCGTATCAGTCTCTTCGTGGTTATCTACGGTGATAGCAGTGGTGATAGCAGTAGCTTGCGATCAGCGAACATACTTGTTTCTGCCACAGTACTGAATAATGTAGTTTATAATGTCTTGCAGTTATTTGTTCGACATCACTAAATGAGTAACATTGAGTGCCTTCGTTTTGCAGTGATCAGTAACGGCACCAGCGAGCAGGGCCTCTCCGGGTCCATGACGGTGCCCTCCAGCACCGAGCAGAGCGTGCTGACCGGTACCGCCAGTGAGCCGTTCATACTGGAGCCGACCGTGGCGCCGCCGGTCCCGGAGCCAGGCAGGGTGGACAGTCTGGGACCGTTCCCCTCCCGCAGCGCCGAGACCGCACCGCCGCGCCGGCCGCCGCCCCAGACCCGGTCGGCCTCTCACGAGCTGGTGTCGCGCCGCCGGCCGCCGCCGCCACCGCGCTCTCTGTCGGCCGACAGCCCGCCGTCGGCCAAATTCCCCTCTCCGCTGCCACCGTCGGGTACAGTGGGTGGCCCCGAGCTGCGGCGGCGCGGCAGCCGGCAGCGCGCCGGCCGGCCCAAGCTGGTGCGGATCGCCGACCTGCCGGAGACGGTGGACAACTACCACACCGACTCGACTGATACTGAGGGCAAGTCGGACGGCGACGAGCTGCTGGCCGAGCTCAGTCCCAGCTCGTCGACGTCGGCGCTGTCCAAGGGAGTGCGGCAGTCGGCCGGCGGGACGGCGACCGGCGGCCCCGGCGGCAGGACGCTGCTCCGACCCGAGTTCCGGTCAGTGTGCCGGCCACCGCCCGGTATAAGGGGACTCCGGCGGGCTAGAGGGACGGGATAGCCATTGGCTGGAAATATAAGTGCGTTAATGTAGTTTTTGATTGTATTGACTGACTTTCGGCACCGACAGAAGTCCCGTGTCGGATTGTTGGCTAATTACTGAGTGCCGCCTCTGACTCTTACAGGAGTCCGGTGTCGGGCATCGCTACTAATCAATGCTGACTGACTACTGAGTATTGAGTACTGGCTCTGACGTTTGCAGGAGTCCGGTGTCGGACAGCTCGGCGGCCGAGATCAGCTGCTCGGAGCGGCGTGACTCGGACGACTGTAACTCCTCGCGCCGCTCCTTTGTCAAGGTGAGCCGACTGCGTGCCCTTCCCCGAACCGGGCCAGCTAACCGGGCTCACGGACCGTCTCCGAGCGCTCTGCCACGCGTCTGCGCTGCGCCGGGTGCCTCTCCTGTGACTAATGTCTGATGGGGTGTGAGTGACCACTGCTCGCTTGCATCTTACAGAATGTAAAGGACAGGCCCCTTTTTATTGGCAGTTTTGGATGTTTTTGAGAGTAACGATTGATAATGTTGATGGTGTGTACATGCTAGCTTTTACGGACCAAATGTGAAACACAGGACCGGTTTTGCACCACGAGTACGCTAGTGACTGCTGTGTTTGTCCCGGTGAGCTCACGCACCTCAGTAGCCTGCCTCCACCCGTACCTACCGTGTCACTGTGTGATGACCTGCACAGTGACACATTGACTTTACCCGCCGTCCCCGCGTCCCACCGTCGGGCGGTCCCGTCGGGCGCACACCCGTCCCCCGCCGCTCGGCTCGGCAGCAGCGGCGGCCCGTCTAACCCGGCCCGCTGGCGACACTGTTCGGCAGGCGGCCGTCCAGCAGCGCCGTATGGCGATGGGCAGGCGGCGCTGGCGGCGCTGGACCCCGCCCGCCTCCTCGGCCGAGAGCCACGCCCACTTGGACGCCGCCAGCCAGCAGGTACCGCCCACTCCCCCCCCCGCTGTGTCTCTCAGCTCCTTCCCTCTCTCTGGCGGCAGTGCTGGCTGCTGCTGATTGGCTACGGCTACTCGGGAACTGCTTCTGTGCTGCGCTGCTCATAAGCGTAGGAACCATGGGTGCAAGGGTGCAGCTGCACCCACAATATTTCTCCAGTGGGTGCAGACAATGTATTCTGCACCCACAATAATCTGAACCAAAAACCCCTTTTCTCATCAACACTACTTTCCATGCAGCACGGCAAATTCAGGATACGTTGCCCACTAATCACTATCCATCTTTCGAAGCATTTGCTTTTGTGATGGTCTTCAAAACTTACATTTGTGCTGAAGAAAAAAAGGAAATGGAGCATGTGATTGAACACATACCGAGCCGATGACCCACTGTCAAAATTTTTAGCCCGATATCTTCGAAAATGGCTAAGTTGGCCGCTCTTACTTTTTGCGGTACCTAGTCAATATTGACAATATTAACCCTCGAATGTGTGCGGCGTTTTCCAGCTTCTAATGTGTAGGGGGAGGGGGGGGGGTGATAGAGCTAGAGCTTCGCGGAAAAAAAACGAGGGTGTTGCGCGTGACGAGAGGAAGCCGATGATACCCAATTTTAAGGTCCTAGGTCATTGGTTGACCTTCGAGGTCAGGTCAATGTTCCAAAAGTCGGGAAAATCGGGACCTGCCTAGAATTGCGTAAAGTGAAGCTGTTATCGGGGTTTTCGGGGTACTGATCACGAATATCATGTTAGTTTTGATCACAGATGATTTCTTCATGCATTTAGGCCAGATCGGGTCAGGTCAGGTCCGGTCAACCATTAGGCCTCCTACCGGCTATCCATAGCAGGTGTCAACTACCACTGACGGCCTCGTAGCATGTTACGAAGGCACTAAAACTACTTCGTAAACGTTCAAATGGATGCTAAATTCGAAATCAGCCCGAAAAACTACCCTAGACACATGTAATACTCGAAAAAGTGAACCGAGGTCATCAAAGGTCAATGACCTGACCTGACCTTCAGGTGACCTTCACACCCACCGTGATGCATGGGACGAACATCATTTCACATGTTTGGACGTCTACAATCACAAAAAGACTGGAAACGCGCGGATAATGTGAGCTGACATACGCCAAATCGCGATTCCGGCCGAATATGGTCTCGAGAATCAGGTCACAGGTCAAAGGTCTTTTGGGTCAGTGTCATGAAATTTTCAGAGTAGGTGTAAAACTGATCAAATCGAGGGTACTTTAAGTTTCGTCGCGATCGGCCGCTTTTTGCGCGAGTTATTTGCGAAAAACCATGGGGGGGCTCATCCGAACCCCCTACACATGCGAGGGGATTAATGCTTCCAAATGCACTTATCGGTCGGTACCTTTTCGACATGGTATACATACACCCCCCTCAAAGCTCGTAACGAGCCTTCGCTCGGGTGTCGCTCCCAACCCCCCCCCCCCCCCCCCCCCCGCTTCACCGGCCATGGCTGGATTTCTGCACCCATGCACCCACAATGTTCCAGCCGTTCCTACGCCCATGGCGCTGCTGACCAATGCTTGAGCGGCGATGGAGCTTTGGCTGAGCTGCTTCTATCTATCTCTTTTTGACAGCTCTTAGGTTATAGTTGTTCTTGCTGTTGCATACGTTATTTGCCAGTTAATTTATTGAAGCAATTATCCTTATCAGCTATGCTAACTTCTTTCATGCTCTCCTTTCCTCAAGCCTTTTACGCAGTCGCTAATGACAGCCGCGCACCATGTGGCATGTCTTTGCAGTATGAATGGCGGTTCCATGAAGTAACTCCTCTCCACAGCAGCCTGTCCTTGTATCTCCCTTCGCACCCATGCTTTTCAGCCTCGTCTTATGCATTTTTCCTTTCATGTTTTGATGTATTCAAATGTTTTCCCTTAAATTCGAACAAAAGTTAAAGATGATCGCCATTCACCATTCACTCTTGGTTTTGCACTAACATGGGCATTCCATCCACATGCTGTCTTGATCTACTTGCTGAATTTATACGGTCTATATTCACGCTATATTTGGTCTTCTTTGTAACTGCCTTTCTAGTGTCACAATGTCTGCTTTCGCTTTATCTATCTTTGAGTCATTTTGGTCGGCATTGCAGCTGCAAACCATTGATGTGGGCTGGTGACCATATGTCATATCTTGCTGTGTATTATGAATGGCTCTTTGCCCTTGCCTGATGGTGTTGTCCATGTCTGTCGAGTGTCGGTATCAGCTGCCGGTGTCTATGTTGAACAGTACCCTGTCCTTTGTCTGTCCGTGTCTGACGGTGTGTAGTGTGTACGCTGGCCGTGTCTGATGATTAAACTGTTGTCCGTATTTTACCTTCAGAGTTGATTGCGGTAAGTTGTCCGTGTCGGTGCGTATCTGACGTACTTCATCGTGTCTGTGTCTGACGAGTGACAATACGTTGTCCCTGTCTCACAGTTCGTTGTCCGTGTTTGACTGTACGTTGTCCTTATTTGTCCGTGTGTGTCAGTACGTTATCCCTGTCTGACTCTACGCCGTCCGCGTCTGTCCGTGTCTGCCGGTACGATGTCTCTGTCTGACGATACGCTGTCCGTGTCTGACTATACGCTGTCCGTGTTTGTCCGGCGTAGACGTCGGGCTCGGACTCTGACGCGTCGTACAGCTCGGGCGAGTCGGCCACGTCTGGTCACCGAGACGCCAGCAGCGGCTGGGACAACCCACTGCAGACGGCCAGCAACGCCGACCACAGTCAGTCGCCGCTGCCGCCGCACGGCGGGCTGGGCCGTAGTGTTGTCCGTTCAAACTATATTCATTATTCATAGACTTTTGTGTGCCTGGACTGAGCACAGGACATCTCGATATAAGCACGCTGACCAGAGCTGAAGCTCTGAACAGAGGACGTATGCAGAGGTCTACGGATAATTGTGATTTGTCACAAGCATGGGACATGCTTGGCAGCTGTTGGCAGTCGCAGTTTTTTTTTTTGCATCCCCTGAGGGAACAATATCCAGCATAACCGAATATCTTATTTGCGTCGGCTCCGGTCTACTGTCCTGTCTTACGCTGCGTCTCCGCCCGACAGCCGGCTGCACCATCTGGGAGGGCTGCGACATGAAGAAGGTCGACCTCACCACGCTCGACATCTGCTCCGTCATCGTCAACCGGGTCGAGTCGATGCCGCAGTCCACCGACTATCTCGTCTTCGGTACGTATTCGTTCTGTTCTCGTCTTCGTCTTTGCTCTGTTGGTCTGGAGAAGTGACAACAGTCGGTATTTCCCATCAGAGTTCTTGATAGTTTTTCTATCGCAGCTAGTTGTGACAGGTTTTAAGGACGGGGTTCCGCTTTTTGCTAGGTTTAGGCGTGTTTCATTAATTGAAAGTAAGGTTTCATTAATCAAATAACGCTCGACCAGACACAGCTACTGCTTTGCCCGCATTATTTACACGCCGTCTGTGAATAAACATGTAGTCCTGCAGGGATACTCAGTTACTGACTCCCACCGTTGCCCGCCCAGGTCTAGTGATGTCTGGTCTGATCGCGCTGCTGCCCACCCTCTGCCGGCTGATGATGGGCGGCGCTGTGCTTACCGGGCCCTGCTGGCCGCCGGCGCCCTCCGTACCCGCTCTGGTGAACGCCACCGCCCAGCTGACCCGGCACGTCATCAAGGTCACCGACGAGGCGTTCGGCGGCACGGCCAGGTGGGTGTCGGCGGGGGGGATGGGGATGTCGTGACTCCTGGGCATGGCCGAGTGGGTGGTGCTCTGAGCCGGTAAAAGGCGGGATAGACTGGTGGGATCTGAGAAGGTCGTGAGTTGGACTAGAGGGAGCTAATTGCTCATTCCAACTATTCTACTTCTACATAGCAAATGTGTAAGTGAGGGACAGACGTCAGGAGCGTAAGGCGTGACCAAGGCCCTAAAACATAGGCGTGATTATGACCCTCGGCCCGGCTCTGAAGGATATAGAGGAATCAAGCGTTGTCGCGCACTACCCTGCAGCTCTATCCCGTCCTGTAGCCGTGTTCCGTATACGGTTTCAGGGAGCGCGCAGTGACGACGGGCTGCCTGCTGGTGACACTGCTCGTCACCAGTCTGCTGTTCTTCCTTCTGAGCGTGGTGGAGCGCTCCTTCAAACAGCGCCTCCTGTACGCCAAGTACTTCTGCTACCTGACCTCGGCCCGGCGTGCCAGGTCAGTCAGCTTGTAGACTCGCTCCTACAATGGATTTGTTCCGAGATTGCTCTTGTACAGAATGCTGTGATTGTTGGAATCAGTTTTACATATGTTGAAGTTGGTACATATGTTGGCAGTTGGTAGTCAGTTTTTTTTTTTTTAAATCTCCTGTGGGCAGAATATTGTATGTGGCAGGTCTGTTATTGGTCTTGTGTGTTCGCTATGTTCGCTGGGAAGCTGGCTCAGCCTCGCTTTGTCCAACAGGAAGTTTGAGCTGCCCCATTTTCGTCTGAAGAAGGTGCGCAATATCAAGACGTGGCTCTCCGTACGCTCGTGTCTGAAGGTCAGTGGTGAAGGCGGGAGATATTTGCTGCTTTCCACACCACACTATTTTGAGAAATTCTATGGTTGGTTGAATGGTTCAGCCTACAGGTCTGTCTAACTAGCGGGTCCCGAGATTGAAACACCATCTCCGTTGATGCCTTTTCACGAGCATGACGTATCTTCCTTGATGTACTCCTTTTAGCTATTAGTTTAGTTTTACAGGCCATGCAAGTTCATCATTCTTGCGTCGCTTTGGACAGTCTTTGCTTCCGTGGCTTACACGTCCTCACGTCGTTTGATCGTCTAACACCGCCTTATGAAACCCTTACCCGTGTCACTACTGCCCACAGAAGCGCGGCCCGCAGCGCTCCATCGACTCGATCGTGTCGGCGGCCTGTCTGACCACTGTCGTACTGGTCACGCTGCTCTGTGTCGAGCTGCTGGAGAACAGCGATTCACCACGCATCGACTACTACCGCATTCAGCTCGTCGTGTGGTGAGGCGGGCAGACAGACAATCTGGCGAGGCAGGGGAGCCCGACACGGTGGTCCGTCAGTCTCAGCTGTGATAACTATTGTTAGGCAATACTCTCGCTAGTTAATTTTCGAGATACTGTTTTTGTTACATGTGCAAGTTTCAGCGAGGCGTATGTTCGAAATTATTCATAGATGAATAAAAACGGGTCGGCATATGTAGGTCCGTGTAAGCGTCATGGGTAGGATACCCGCCATTTATCGTGATGTTCTGCGTAATGACTGTGTGATAATATGGCTTGGGATATTTTTTTCGTTCAGTTTCATAAGGCGGTGCCTTTATTTAATTGCTTCACCATCGATGATGTGTCATAGGTGTCCGCAGTCACATCGATGATGTGTCAGACTGCCGGCTGAGTGAGTTTCTCTCCGTTCCACAGGTGCTTCTCGCTGGGCGTATACCTGGTGAGAGTCATGTCCCTGGGCTCGTACATCAACCGCAAGTACCGCAACCTCTCGGTGGTGCTCACCGAACAGATCAACCTGTATCTGCAGATCGAGCAGAAGCCGCACAAAAAGGAGCGGCTCGTGCTCGCCAACAACGTGCTCAAGCTGGCCAGCGACCTCCTCAAGGTGCGTCATTAGGGGGAGTTATACATGGGGCGCTTAGACCAGGCAGTAACTGCGGCCGGGCCGTTTAGGGTTTGTTAGGGAAAATATTCAATAACAAATTCAGTAGAAAATATTCAGTAAACTTAATGGGATGCGTTATCGGAAACACTTTGACGTAAGATAAGAGACATTGAGGTGAAAATGCTATAACTAAATCGCAGAATACTAGCGTCATAAAATGTTGAAATCTCAGCCATCCAGTGACCCTCTGTGGTTCTTCTGATCGCCAGGAGCTGGAGAACCCGTTCACAGTGCTGGGCTTCTCTGCCAACCCGTTCCTGTACAACGCCACCAAGGTGATCGTGCTGTCCGCCTGCAGCGGCGTGCTCTCAGACATGCTTGGCTTCAAGCTGAAGCTCTACAAGATCAAACTCAAGTGAGCCTCCCGCCTCAGCAGCAGGCGAGAGCGACGGGCGTGATGTCACCCGAGTTTTTGTGACATTTCAGGTGGGAGATGAAGCTGTGCGTAACACTCGTGGTATCCATCGGGTGTTCTTTCGTAGTGTGTTGAGGGGAGAGTCACTGAAGGCGTCTTTCGGCGGGCGTTGTGTTGGGAGGGCACTCACTGAGCTAAGAACGGTTCTCTGCGGTTGCCATCTGCTGAGACCTGGTAACTAAGTTAGCAGTAGCTCCGCTGAGGAACGCATGTCATGTCTCGGCTGAGGCGCAGGTTTGTCAGAGAACGTTTGAACTAGCTGGTGCTACGGTAGGTTGACGGTGCGTATTGCACGTCATGTCCGGGGTTGAACGTCTTGCAACGATTTTGGGCTGTATGGGGCGAAACAACTTCGTGTAACTGAGGGCATCGATGCAGCAATGATGGCACTACATCCTTTACATCCTTTGGTTGTAACATCCACCAGGATTAGCCACTACATGGACTTATTTTAGCTGATACCATGCGGGTATTTGTATAACAGGACAGTATACCTTTAAGGACAGTAAATAGCTAGGTGTTACTTCATATATGTATTATGTCGCGACAACCTGTAGGGGAAAACGCTATTCACCGGGGGAACATAAGCATAGCGTTAGGTTCATATATCAAAGTGTTTTATAAGTCTACCGGGTTAACTGTTAGTTTGCGGCGCACTTAGTGCACTTATTGCATACTTTGCCGCTGATCTGCCTCACCCATGACACCAGCTTGGGGGAAATGTTTAGGTTTATTTGCTGTCGCAAATCGCAATGCGCTACGCTTATCGTCTCGTTGAGATTAGTACCTTGGTTATCTCGTCTCGATTCACAGTATTTACCGCCACATTTTGGCTTCACCAGTCTATCTCAACTTCTTGTGAGCCAGTCACTCATACTGTTATTTTGATATTCTCGTTTAGTTTTGTGTTGCCGCGCACTGTGCTGCGTCACAACAGCGGTTGCGCGTGCAATGTATATCACCGCTGGTGATACTGAAGAGCTGTTTATCGAAGTCGCAGGTCGTGCCAGCGCTGCGAGTAAACGCTTAATACTCGTGTGATACAAATCGCCCGTGTGCAATATTCAGCCGGTGCTGTAGTGTGGCGAAGGGTTGTCTGTCGTCCTGCGAGTCAGGAGCTGTGAGACAGTACAGAAACCCACGCTGAATAAAATCCCGTTTTGACGTCCCTGTTGTTACCATTCTAGAGGGAACGCTGTTACAATGGCTTTCATTATGAAGTGAGGAAAGTAATTAATGAAATGATATTTTGGATTAGTAAAATAATTTGCTGGAAAATACATATCGTCTAGTTGCCACGTTTGCAATGCCCTTGCTTCTTTCTATAATGCACACTGAAACCAGGACTCCTCACCTTAAGGCTTTGAAATGGTTTTATGTGCGTGTTTATTTCGCGGGACAGACAAACGCCGTTCTGGACAGTCGAGCTCACGTATCGCATGGGCCAGGCTCATGGGTACCGGGGTCCGCACCGGACCGGGAGCGAGCGACCGAGAGCGGCAGTGTGCCAGCGTGAAGGCACATACACTCTGTCCGTACTAGAGAGGCGACGAAACGGCGCGTCCTCACTCCTCGCACGACAGACCTACGTACAGCGATACAAACAAGCGATGTGCTAAAAATAGCTGCCGGTAGTACATTTTAATCACAATGCTTGTATGGTACACATTTACAGGGGTGAACCTTTCACAGACACATCTCAGAAGAAAGTCTTCGAAGAGCGAAGACGCCCACGACTCTACCAACCCAACTGTGGCTTAGCTTGCAATTTGTTCGTAAAAAATATTCAAGGTTGGAAGATCTGTGAAGGTACCATGCTTATAAACTAGTATAAACTAACTATCCTATGCTAGCGATACATAATGCGAAACAAAGCGACACAGACAGCCTTTCGATGGAATGACGCCAATAACTGAAAGCCTCCGCAAAAAGCTGAGTGTGATGTGCAAATGCCGAAGCGTGTGTGCTCGCGTGAACGTCGGGGACTGCCACGTCTCAGCAAAAAAAAAAAAAAACTTACAAATACCGGGTACAAATTGCTTCAACCAGCTTAGATCTGCTCAGATCCACGCTAACAAGTCGATAGTCACAATCGAGCGGACGGAATGTGTTATAGCACATGAACGCACCAACTATGGGCGCGCATCGGCGGCCGCCGACGCGCACACCATCTACCGACGGCCGACCGAACCGCGCCGCCTCAGTAGCGGGCGCCGTTGCTCGGGTCGTGAACGAACACCTCGTTATCGTTCTCGACGCGCTGGTAGGGCGCCGGCGAGGGGGCGACCACGGACGGGGCGACGGAGGGCACCGAGGGTGGGTAGCCGCCGTACTGGTAGCCGGGCTCGCTGCCGTACTCGTTGCCGTACTCGTAGAGACCGTGGCGGCTGAGCCGGTCCAGGTGGTAGTCGGTAGGCATCAGCTGCTTCACCTGGTACAGGTGCTGCGAGACACGGAACGGGAGGTCAGCTGTCAGCGCCGCACTCGGGCCGGGGGGTAAATACGGGGAGAGGCAGGCCGGGAGCTTGGTAGTACAGCGCGACGCCATAACGCACATTTTAAATAGCCATGGTGCGTTCAGTCGCTTGTAACAGAAACAAAAAGTAAACACACTCTTTACTTTGCACACTGTCGACTAAATTCGGGCATATCTATTTAAGCTCGAGGCAGAAATGAGCCAAACATAAGAGAACTAACCAATTTTTTGGCCATATTATCGCGGCGCAAACATTGATGAAGATCATTAGACAATCCAGAGCGCACAACAGCGTTTAGGGATAATGGACATTATCGATGGCCAAAAACGTACAAGACTGCATGCCTGGATATCAGCAGAAAGTAATGAATACGTGAAACGAGGCATGAAAATGATCTGGATCAGTGAGGGACGTCGTAGGTATGAAGTGGTGAGTAACAATAAGTATTTTTGCTACTGTTAGGCTGGCGAGGAAGGTAAGACGTGAATGGTTACTTAAAGATGTTATGGTGGTGTGCAACAGGCAGACACTCTTTTTTGATTTTGCGGATATTTATAAGCCCATAAAATAGAGGCGATGCACGGTAGATGTCAAAAAAGCCGATGAAAACATCAACATCTCATAGATTAGTGGAGGAGGATCATTAATACCGTCAGCCGATTAGTTTGCTTTTTACAATATCTACATGCCAGATGACGCAACCAATTGGCAAAAAGAAGGATAGAATAAGGAACTCCGATATCAAGAATTTTCGGGTTATAGTCCAGCCAGAAAGTTACGTAAATATTATCCAAAGAAAACCAGGAAAAGGCAAAGCTATTTTAGGAATCATGAACATGATGATCAGATGGTATAACATACGAGTATGCATCTGGTCCTGGTGCGAAATGTTCAAAGGGGCAATAATATGAGCACTATTCTATGTACACATGAGAAACGAACATGTATTACGGCTAGTGATCAAGAAGCAAAACTCGTAAATCATATTTTATCATTATAATTGGCCTAAAAGAAAAGACAAAAAGAAAAAGAGCAGTTATTTGTACGAAAAAGTAAAAAAAAATCCAGGCATAAATAAGTCTCACTAGATACAAAACCGAACCATTAAGCGAGAGTAGTCAGTCAGGGACAGCAGCTAAGACCAATAGAAAAAGAAAGAGGGAGACGGCAGATTGACAGAGACAGACTGAGACGCACAGACAGAGGCGGGCGGGGCGGGTGAGCGGCTGGTCGGCCGGCGGGTGCGGTCTGCATACATGGCCCTCGCCGGCGGCCCGGGGCCCGGGACCGGCTCAGATGTACGCCGAACCGTGGTGCGACTCGGCCGGCTGCATGTGCATCAGAATGTTGCTCTGTTCCAACTGGCGGCGCCGGATGGCATTCATCTCCTAGAACACGACACAGCCAGCGAGCTGGGCATGAGCGGACCGGCAGCTGCACGCTGGTTGGTCGGCCGCGAGCACGGCGACCAATCAGTGAACGCCTCCGGCCACCGGGAGTCTGATTGGCCGCCCGCCGGCGACCGAACTGAGGTCAACCAATCAGCGACCGTCTTGCGCAGAGCCAGCGACGCTGATTGGTCGATAACACCCAGCTCAGCCGACGTCGACCAATCAAACGCCGCCGCCGAGAAGCGATCGTGGGACGTCACATGACCTGTTTGCCGTCACCGAAAACCACTACAAAGCCCTGCAATGTTTGCAATCGCAACAGCGCACCACGGCTCGTCTTCATGCCATAGCTGAGCCTCAGAATTTACAAAGCTTTGTACAGAGGAAGGAAGCACGTTTTCCAGCTTTTTACAAGCGCTTAGCAGTCAGCTAAGTCCGACGCGGCGAGTGCTGCTGCCAGATAGATTCAACGCGACCCATCACCAGCCGTGGGGATGGCCACCGACCAGCCGGCCCCACCAAGAGACGTTTAGTGCGGTCACGAAGGAAGGCGAGTGAGACAGGCAGAGGAGAGGCATGAGGAACCGCGGCGGAGACAGAGATAGGCACAGGCGTCGGGCAGTAAGGGGTGGATGCATAAAAATGAGTGATGCAGAGATCCAGACCAAAAACCGCGAACAGGTCAGCTGCGCCGCTGTTTTGAGCGGTCTTCGAGCTACGCTGCAGAGAGAAAAGAAACACACAGAGTCGCCTGAAGCCGGCTGAAAGTCCGTCTCACGGGTGTCAGACCACAGAGTGAAGCCATGCTGCGGAGAGGAGGAGCCAGTGGCCGGCCTCCGGAGCGACGGCCGCTCGAGGCCAGCGGGTCCCTCCCGACGCCGGACCGAGAGCCGGAGAGCCAGGCCGGAGGAGACAAAACTGATACGGGCGTGCGAGCTACCACATGCTGATGTGACACAGGGTGCTGAATACTCGCCCAGAACACAAGCACAAAACAACCAGTGGGGGGTACGGTGATGATACGCAATACGCATGCCGCTAACACATAATATGACGGTGACGGGAGACTAGGGCGGACTGCAGCCCGGGAAACACACATTTACTATTCACAAAACTGAACAGAAAAACAACGCTACCCAAAACACAATGCATGTGTAAAAGACAGCGATAGGTGCCATGCAAACAAACATTGAAAGCACACAGCACACAGCAAACACATGCACAACTCACGATGAAATAGATGGACACGACAATGTGAGACAAAACAACAAAGCCTGGCATAAAACTTAAAACACAACAGATATTTACAGTCAAATTCGTTCCACCTGCCTTACTTTTTTGGTGAATGTAATGCCTGAAAAGAATGCAAATTAATGCCAGTTTTAGCCCAAAGAGTGCTGACACACTAGGGACATGACAGGAAAATTGAGCGACATTCAAGTGAATTGAAACCGACAAAAAATAATCCGAATGTATCTAAAAAAAAACAAAAAAAAGACGTGCTGCAAAACCGTAGAACAGGAAAACAATGTGTGCTGCCACAGCAGTGCCCCAGAATAACAACGAACAAGTGCTGACAGATATGGGACGTCCCCTGCCCACCAGGCCACTCACCATGCCATAGAGGATGGCGGCGAACGCGTGGAACATGCAAGAGAAGGCGGCCATGTAGTACGACCACGAGAGGAAGTTGTAGTTGGGGTACATGAGCCAGTCGCGGTCCCAGCACTTGCCGCCGAAAATGGCCAGCGCCAGAAACAGCGTCGCCACTGCGGCAGAGAGGAACAGAGACGGGGTCAGCGGGTGGAGACGTGCGGAGACATGAGTCGCCACTGTGGTGGAGAGAGGGCAGGGGCAGGGTCAGCACTGGCGCAGAGAAGAACAAAGCCATATTTAGGGGAAGCAATGCACTTCACGGTACCTTCACTCAACGTCCTCAAACAAACAAACAAACAAGAAAAATAAGCGACGTCGCTCGTCTAAAATCTAAATAGCTAGGCGTCAAATACGTCATCGCAATAGCCATTCAGTTTCACTCTCACTTAGAAGAGATGACCGATCTGTATACCAAAACTAACACATTACTCGGTCCCGTCCCTACCAAGTGATTCAGCTGGCCCTGCCCCCTCCCTCCCACCCCACACCCAAAACCTCTCCATCGCGGACCGTACCGGTAACGAGCTTCATGGTGAGCGCTGTGACGGTCATCTCCAGCTGGAAGCGGCGCCACAGGAAGAGCGGCAGCTTCATCAGCATCATGGCCACCACCACCTGGCCGCCGAAGCTGGCCACGAAGGCCAGCGTGACGAACGCCTGCACCGCCTGCAGCCACGCTGCAGGCGCGGCACACAGCGGGCGGTCAGTCAGTGGCGGCCGCAGGCGGTCGCAAGACACGTAGCCCGGGGTGGTCGGTTTTTTATTCTAGAGTGCCCGGACTTCGGGGGTCATCGGCGCCCGGTAGTTTGTTTATGAGGCGCAATGGCGACGGTAAGTTATATATGAGGAACGTCGCTGCCACTCTGTCAACACAGCGTGTCTCCCACCAAACCCATGGCATAGCCGGGCGACCATCCTCTACTCGAGACTGCTTACCAGGCAGAATCCACTCTCTGATGATGCGGTACTCGTTGCTGAACACCCAGTGACAACCAGTGAACTTGTGGTCAAACTGGTTGTTGGGGTACCGGAAGTTGACAAAGCAGACTTCCCACAGACCCATGTTCTTGAAGTCCAAGTAGGCGATTTCATATGACTGCAGCCAGTACGGACTGAAATAGGCAGAGAGCAGTCAGTTAGGATATCTTGAAACAACACAATGTGCATCATCACCCTCACAGAGTTTGAGTTCAAGCTGATATACGGTTATATCCATAAAATGTCCATGAGATAGGACACTACACAATGACATCATTATTATGGAAATAATCATAAATATCAGGCATTTTATTCCACTCACATTAGCTGCAGGCAAAATAAAGGGCAATTATCTACCCCTTTATTGGTGTTTTAGATTGCACAAGCATCATAGTAACAATGCTTACCTGCAAAATGACATCAGCAGCAGAACACCACCAATGAAAGCAAATATGCTTCCATAAAAGAGAGGCCCTGAAAAACAACAATGATGTTAAACACCTACCACAAAGCAATATGATGGTGATCTAATGCTTATCAATGTCATGCAAGTGAATAATGGACACATTATTTATGGTTTAGAGAAGAGCCACCATCCATTAACATGACTGACAGTTCAATGCTTATCATCATTCTAACTTTATTGACCATCTTAAAATAACTGAACTTAACAACTTGGATGCAATGCCAGGACTTTAACTGGTAACACCATACTACCTTGCAATACATGTAATAGTAACCCACCTTTCCTGGGCTTTGCTTTAGGGTTATCATCATCTGACATGGTGTACTATTTTCTTTCTCTCAAACCTGAAAAATGCAAAGTCAGTCAAGCATGACAAATCGAACAAAACCCATATTTGACAATTGACTGCACAGGCAACTCTAAGGGGATGGAGGAGCATATGCCCTGCCCCCTTCCTCTATATCCTAAATGGATGAAAATATACTATTTTTTAAAGGAAAAATTCTTTTAGTAACTTAAATAATAACATTTGCTTGCAGTCATACAACATTGCTTAGGAAGCAAGATCTTCAGTGTTTTTGAAAATTGGAGTAGCTTTTAGTAGATTATGAGTATGGCGCATACTGCACCAAAAGTTACAAGTGGCATTTATTTATGTGTCACATCCATTTGGGAAGTGTTGGCTCATCCTGTAAACTTCTAAAAACAGCACTACTGTGATTTTCCTGGGAGCCATCAATATAAAAATGTTACAAAAAATAAGCACACTTATCTCTACTGAGCTATCCTTAAGATGTGCTATGATGTAATGATTGTCAGAGGTATTGCCTTCAGATCAGCTCTACCAACACCTAACACCAGTAACAAACCAGCTGAAGTGAATATAGATTAGAAACTAAGAAACATAGGTCAAGTCAAACCACATGGAGCTCTCCAGTCACAGCAGCACTGCCACTGCTCTGAGTAATGGGACAGATCAGGATGCCTTATCCAACAAGCCACAGGGGCTGCAATCCATGACAAAAAAATGACAACTTGCTTTATAGTAGGTACATCGCAGATCAGTGCATATAAAGATCAGTATGGTTATGGAATATGGGCAAATATTTGTAAATCACAATATTTTTTCACTGCAAATTGCAATTTACATCAATTTCACTTTTGAGAAATTCCATGATTCCATGTTGGGTCAGGCATCAGGGTCACACTAAGGTCATGATGCGTTGGCAATGGGATATTACACCCAAGTAAATTTACATTATATTTCTTTCATTTAATATGGTTGAAAGCAGCCTTACAAATGTTGGATGTTTATCCGGGCCCTGTTTCAAGAAAGCAAGCTGCACACAGCAGTATATTGGGTTTCCGAGGAGACAACAATTGGGCGCTAGAAACGCAGGAGCATCAAGCCAAATTTGCCTCAAGCGCCACGCCAATACAGTGGAGCAGCGTACTGCAGCGCTGGGCCATGAAGCAGGGCCCCAGAAGAAGATTTGTCCTGAAATCCAAAACATGTCAGGTTACACTCATTCCATCATCATTTGCCATTGTCCTTTTCAATTAAAATCCTAGCTTCCCATTAATAACACTGACTGTCTGCTCACCCCAGGGCCCAATATGAAAATATTTTAAATCATAGCCTTGCTTTAAATACTACCTGAAATATATAATAAGTTGAGCAGTTGAAGAAATAGGTAACTCTTATGTTCTCCCACAATACACACCCTCCTTTTTTGCGTTTGTGGGTTGGTAGGCGATAACTTTCCAAGCTGCAGGGGGCAGGCAGGGGGCAAAATGAAATAGTTGCCCTGCACCTAGTGGCTCTTAAAATTGTTGTAAAATAATCTTCAGATATGTTTCAATTTTTCTAAAATTCTGGTGATGTTAATTGTTAAAAGTGTTTTTTTTTGTATAAAACAAACACAACACCAAAGAAAAATAAAAAATTGATCCCAAATGTATAATGCAGTGCTTAGTATTTTTAACTCCTGATTTTCCTATTAGAACCCTGTTCGATGATGGAAACTTGAAAGTTTTGATAACACAAAAGCCTACTGTTGCCTAGCAACAAGAGAAAAATTTTAGCTGTTGCTAGGTAACTGGTCGTTATCGCATAGTTGATTTCTCAGTAGAACGATCAAAAACAGCTTTTGATATCCACCGTAAACTGAGCATTAGACGTTTTTATGCATATGCATTTTTTAAAACTGAGAAAATAAAAGTTCTTTGAAACAGTTGAGTTTTTTGTAGAGAGGAATAGTTTGACATATCAAGCCTGCCACTCACATTTATTTCTAGGATCAATTTCAATTTTATTTTATTTAATGGAATAACCTTCTGTTCAAAATTCTAGAAATTGCCAAAAGTTACCAAAAACCATACCAAAAACACTTAAATATATTTCATATATTACATATAATGCTGTTCACCAGAGTGCTTTGTCATTTGATTTCAATTTTATTTTGTCAGTTCAAGCTGGCTTCCAGTCATTCATTTCAATTTCAATTTATTACCTGCCTATTGATGGGATTCATAGTTGATTCATAAAATGGTACATCAAACTGAAAACACATCTTCCTGATTTGGAAGATGTCAATGTCTTTTGTGTCTCTCCTAATAATGAGGGGTGTTCACGGGCACTGCAAACTGCTGTGTGCGGTGTGCAGCAGCAGGCGGGGTGTATTGATGCGTGGTTTCACTTTTTAGGCTTAGAAGGGCATGTTCTTCCAATTCATGTTCTTATTTTGCAAATTTATCCAATTTTCAGAGGTTGCAAAAAGAGGAAGTGGTCCTGTTTTGGTTTTACTGTCCATCATCCAATGGAGTGTTAAGCATTCTGCTATAACACCAGTAGTTGTGTTTCTCCCCTTTAACTAGCAGCTTGTTGCGCTGTGCCCATGCAGCCAGTACACCTGAGGTAGTTGGAGCCTCACGGCACTACAGCAGAGACTGAGAAGTGAGACTAATGATGAGTTGTTGAATGTCACTCAGGACCTTAGAGCCTGTTGAATGATGCATTTCCCTTAATGTCCGGGTGAGGATGGCATGCCATTCCACCAGACCAGGCCAAGGTGCTCATTATGCACAATTCTAAATTTTGAATGGCCTTGCATCTGTCTGTTCTGATGGGCAAAGGTGCCATCATTTTGAAGGCAGCAATCTCAAATAATAACAAACTTTTGCCCCCCTAACAATGCTGACCTGAGGCATGATATCCCAATCCTTTCCTCCCTCTGGCACCACTAGACCACTCCAGTCTTTAAGCATTCAGTGCCTATTATTTGAAAGCTAATTAGCCATGATGCAAACAGTAGGATACATTGCACAATTTTATTTGCCATCCAGTTACATAAATGTGTTTATATCTCATCCTTCTTAATTCTGCTTCATATTTAGGTCATCCACTGTTTATCAAGATAATTATCTAAATAACCTGCCAGTGAGCAGTGGAAACTGGCAACTCACCTCCCCTGGTGGAAACTGGCAGATGGCAGGTTTCCAGGGAACTGAAAACAGACAGACAAACTTGATGAAACAGCCACATAATTGCAATCCCATGATCACTGTCATAGCTCTTCATAAGTGATTTCATGTTTCCAGGCTGCCTTTTTCAAGATGCATTGTTTTACAGCCTAGGCCTGCTTTGGAGACAAACATTGCAAACTGGATGTAGCTGAAGCACTGCAAAATTGCCAGCATGGGCTCTCAAGAGCAGGATGATAAGTTCTATTATGTGTACAGCTGTGACCTAGATGCCAATCTGCAAGTCAAAATGTGAGTACTAAGATGTGCAATGCATTGTACAATATGGTAACTGGGTGTTTTATGTCATCTCTGGTGGTGGTCAAATATGTGTTCAGCTTAGAGCTGTAGAAGTGTAGGAGCTGTAGGATGCAGCTGTTCATGTAATCATCATGCTTTTATGGTAGACTACATAATGCAACCGTCATGAAGCCTTGAGAATAGCTCTTAGCACACCAGTTCTTTCCCCTGCCCAGCAGCCTGGTAACCCAAGCCACTTGGCAACCAAGATGTTCATGGCTCTCGCCTGCACTGAGGCACTGCCAGTCACCTCCCACGCCTGGCCCCACTTCTGACTCCCAACCTCTGACCCTGGACAGTTGAACCCTGGAGGGAGACTGGCATCCCTGACCCTCAACCATGAAGGGACTTCTGACCCTAGCCCTGCTTCTGGGTCCTGACCCCTGACCCCTGACCCTGACCCCGGACTTTTGACCCCACCCCTGACCTCTGAACTTACCCCATCACCTGCAGCGGTACCCTGGAGGGCGACCGGCGCCGGCCCGACTACGAGGACCTGCTGCTGGACCCGATGATCGAGTTCTCGGGCCGATGGCAGCAGCAGTGCTCGGATATGTACGTGGAGGTGCAGGTGCTGAGCGGCCGGGTCGAGATCGCGCTGCCCGTCACCACCTCCTACAAGGCGTTCACCACCCGCTGGAAGTGAGTACCGACACAGCTGGCTGGACGCGGCGTGGTTGGGCTCGTATTTACCGGCATCTTTGTGGCCAACCAATCAAGGTATGACAATTATACAGCCATTTAGTTTGTGTTATGATATCAGACATAGACCTTTGCATACTGTACACAGCTGAGGCTTATGTTACAAACATGGGGCTGTGTTTCTGTATCTAGCATTTAGCAGTGCGTTAATGTTACGAACCTCCGGCAGTGTATCTGTGCCTAGCGGTGCAGTCATTTATGGATGTTTGCCCCGCGCAGCTGGAACGAGTGGCTGACGCTGCCGGTACGCTACTGCGACCTGCCTGATGACGCCGTACTGAGGTTCACCGTGTTCGAGCCGTGCCGACCGCAGCGGGCGGCCGTGGTGGGCGCCACCAGCATTAAGGTCTTCACCCCGGACCGCTGCCTCAATCAGGTGAGGCTCGCCCTGGACTGCTGCCTTAAAGCCGGTGCGGCTCACTGCTGCCTCAGTCAGGTGGGATTTGCCTCTGACTGCTTCCTAAATCAGATGAAGCTCATCTCCAATCGCTGCTTGGCTACGATGAGACTCACCTCCGACCTCAGTGTAGGTATGTAACAGTGGCGCGGTTGGATTCTGACAACCGTAACCCATCCCCCGCAGCTCGCTGGTAACCCGTCCTCCCCGCCCCTCCGTCCAGGGTCTGCACGACCTGCGCCTGTCTCCGCCGCCGGAGGAGCTGCCGGAGTCCACAGCACGAGCCACGGACGGCGCCGCGGGGGACGGAGGACCGGGAGCGGCCAAATCTGAGGGTGGCACTGAGACTGCTGCCTCCACATCAGTGACCATCGTGAGGGCGACCAGCCCGGCCTCCGCCCCCGCCCCCGCCCCCGCCCCCGCTCCAGCCGGGTCGCCCAAGAAGGATGCCAGCGATCAGATGGAGCGGTTAAGTAAGGTGAGATTTGACATTCATAAGAGACCAGAGTAATGGGTAGGTGTTACGTTTTGAACCTATTATCGGGATTGCCGTGCTGTTTTATTGGACATCATAAATATCGTAAATGAATCGAACTACTGAAGCCTATTCACGTCGCGCGTGAACACGGAATTAAATTTACTTAGTACAATACACGACATATCCGCGTTGTGGCACGGACCTGTCGCGGGTGCCATGTGCACACTTGTTTATGCTCGTAGGCCAGATTCTTGAGCCGTAAAATCCAATCGGACGCGGTGATGTCGCGCTCTGTGCCTTTTCTGAGAGCGTTTCATTGTCGTTCCTCTCTCTGTCGGTTGTCTCGATAGCCTTGAAATACGCTAGCCGCTTGGTCAGTACACCAGGAAGCGGCATCAGCGACAGAGAGGAGACAGCGGCGCTGGTACGCGTTTGTTTAGATTTGTCGCCCGCCCTATTGGTTTCCGCGTTCTGCCGCGCGGCGGCGACAAAGTGGACACGTGACTGAGCTCGCTGGGAGGGGGAGGGGGGCTGTAAGGGGAGGGACGTGTCGATAGGTGTCGAGCGGGATGTTGGTGGGGTGGGACGGGGTGTTTGACACGTGATCTTTCGCTCGGCAGTTGTAAATGGCGTATGCTACTGAGAGATTTAATGCCATGAGAAATTAAAGCATAACACTATTTGTCTCGTTTTATAGCTAATCAGCCGCCAGCGGCCAGTATTTTCAAGTAAAAGCGTTCATTTTCGCTTTCCTGCTCATAACTCACGCAGTCCAACCTAGTGACAACAGGACCGCTCCCTCCTCTCGCCAGCTAACGAAGCGCCACAGGAACGGCCAGCTGCAGCAGATCGACTGGCTGGACCGGCTCACCTTCCGCGAGATAGAGGTCATCAACGAGCGGGAGAAGCGCTCCTCCTCCGCGCTCTACCTGATGATCGAGTTCCCCAAGATCGTCGCTGACAAACAGGAGGTGAGTGCGTGTGCTTAGTTGGTTTACATCTCTGCTAGTGTATCGATGCTTGTTTCAAGGGATGTAGTATTGAAGCAATACAGCTGCTATGGTGAAATTTCAGCGCTGTGTCTCCTCTGTCTCTCCCTCCTCTACCTTTTTCTTCCTATCTCCCTGCTCTCCCCTTTTCTCCCCCTCTTTCTCTCTCTCTCTCTCTCTCTCTCTCTCTCTCTCTCTCTCTCTCTCTCTCTCTCTCTCTCTCTCTCTCTCTCTCTCTCTCTCTCTCTCTCTCTCTCTCTCTCTCTCTCTCTCTCTCTCTCTCTCTCTCTCTCTCTCTCTCTCTCTCTCTCTCTCTCTCTCTCTCTCTCTCTCTCCCTTTCTTTTGCTCCCTCTCTCCCTCCTTTCCTCCCTCCCCTCCCTCTCCCTCTTTCTCTCTCTCTCTCTCTCTCTCTCTCTCTCTCTCTCTCTCTCTCTCTCTCTCTCTCTCTCTCTCTCTCTCTCTCTCTCTCTCTCTCTCTCTCTCTCTCCTTCCTCTCTCATCTTTCCCCGCCCCTCTCGATTTCTCATAAACTGACCCATCCTTGTGACTTGTTTCAGTACGCGATGGTGTACTTTGAGCAGGGCGCCGACGCCGAGGAGCACTGCCGCACACGCGCCGACATCGTCACCGTAGCCGACCACGAGGCAGACCTGGTAAGGACGCGCCGCGACAGTGGTAAACGCTCGTAATTATGGTGCTCATGAACCGCTGAACGAGTTTAGGGAAATGATTGAAGAGCTTTCGTGACTGGAAAGACTGTGATAGGTTGGATTGCTTGGCTGTTTGGCCCTGCCCGCTGTAATTGGCGATAAGCTAAAGGAAAACTTACTCTGGAATGGACTGAAACGATATATCATGGCTGTGGCTTAGTAGAGTCTGACTGTTCATGAGCATATGCTTCTTAGTTCATTCGTTTTGCTGGTTATTTTTTTTCACACTACTGCTTGTGCCTCATATTCCTAACTTCAGAATTGATTGGGTGGTGGTAAAAGTCGAGATGCTTCTTCGTTCACCTCCCATCGTCTCAGTCTCTCAGTGATAGTATATGCCCAGTTTGTAGGATTCATCAGTCGGACTTTGGTCCTTCGTCGGACCGTCTCCTCCCCCGTCTCCCCGTCCGACGGCCCCACTCAGTCGACTGACCGCCCGCCGTGCCGCTACTCCGACCGCCCCAGTGTTTCACTTTCCTGGCACCGGTCGGCGCCCCGGGCTGCCCCTCTGCCCTCCACACACACCGGGAAGTGCTGTCGTCTCCGCCCCACGCTGCCTGACTCCGTAGTAAGGCCGGTGTGAGGGCCCCGTGACTGGCTGACGAACCGACAAGACACTGCGACTCTGACCTTGTCCCATGCGTGGATTGTGACCTCCGCTGGATTTGAGGATGGCGGCCGTTTTCAGGAAGCAGAGGCAGTGATCGTGTCTGGGTATTGTCCCAGTGCGACGGAGGAGGGAGGGGGGAGAGATAGGGGGTCGCTGCTCCCGGAAACACCGGCTTGTTTAGATATTCGGACGGATAATTTTTTTTTTTCTGGGGGTGGATGCGCCCTACCGCCGTGTAGATTTTCAGGGGTATCTATGCTAAACGATATTTCCAGTGCATGTATCTGTGCCTGTTGTCTAAACGCCTCACAGCATACACCAAGGCCCTACATACATGGCATGGCATACACTATGGAATTGGATGTCATACAATGACAAAATAGGTGACTCATAAATCAAGCTCGGCTCAGGCCTTGCAGTACACCTCAGTAGGCTAGTAGGCCACATGCATATTGGTTATTGAACATTCTAGATACATATTACACAGTGATCAGTGGGCATTCAACAAAGTCGTCCGTTGGACAGCCTGCAGACGGGTCCAGTGAATGGTTATTCAATACCCAGCAGGCCGCACATGTCATGATAAGCACTCCATATGCCCGGCAGATGGCCGTTCAAAGATACACTTCATCTGAAGCACGACGAATGTTTATTAAACTGGCATCAGGCGCCGGACGGAAGTTTCTGTGGAATTTGCACCTTTCGCGCGAAAACTTGCCAACGAATTCTAGTTGAGGTTCAGTACTTGCTCGCATTTCAGCTTACCCGGCGTCCAATGTCTGCAACAATGCCCATACGGATGCAGCTAAATGTTTGGTTTGACTATATAGCTATCTATCAGGGGTCTATCGGTCTGTCGGGTCTATCGGGTCAGGGGTCTATCGGGTTCGCTATTTCGTACTAGGTAACCGTTTCTGGTATGTCGCTATGTCTACATATCGCTGTTCTCTATGCGCGATATTTTCCCCTCGGCAGCATCCCCTACCCTTCCGCCGGGGTGTGTCAGTGAGGCCGGGCCAGCCCCGGGGGCCCACACTGACCCGATCGCGGCGGGGGCGGCCCGAACCCCGGCGTTTTGGCACACTTGTCGGCCTGAGAGGAGCGGGCTGTCAGTGAGCCGCGCGGCTTTACCGATCGATATCAATACGGCCGCGGTACCGGCGAGCGGCGGGGATGGTCCGCTGTGCTCACCGGCACTGGGACGGTTAGTGTGCGGGCGGTGAGCGGCACCACGGATGCAGTGAGCGGTGTGTGTGTAGGGGAGAGTGAGTGGTGGTCATGCAGCGCAGAGAGCCGCTGGCCGTGAGGATGTTCCGCCGATGGTCGGACGGTCACATCGACCAGGTCAGTGTGAGCGGGTGAGGCACTCCGGTGGTCGGGAGTAGGGGAAGCTCAGGCTAGTTAGGTCGGTTTTTAAACGTCAGATCTGCGTGTCAGTCAGTAGAGGCCCCGGCTAGTCGGGTAAAATTGACCCAAAACTGAAACCATATGTTCGGTCGAATACCAGTGACCCAGTCCTGTTGCTGTGGGTAAACGTAAAGATTGCGGTGAATGTAGCTCATTGTTCATTTCAACTGCTGAAGAGCAGTTGGTAGCCTAACAGCAACAAGTCACTCCATCGTGCCAGTTAATTTATGGATTATCGGAACACCTCATTTGTCATACGTGCAAGGAATGCATCGGTTTCCTTGAGGGAGTTGGACTTGAGTTGGAAGTTTGATTGGAGGAAGCTGGATCCACCTACTTGGCACTTTCAGAAAGCAGAGCGTTTGTAATGGGTTGTATTTGATACTGCCCCGTATTCTAATTTTACCGCTGCAGCAGGGCCAACTACTACAATTGGTAGCAGAACGGATGGTCGGCCAATCATTGATACAAAGCGAAGCGTTATAAGTATCGTTATTGGGCGTTTAACCCGCGCGGGGCTGGGGGGGGGGGTAAATTTTACCCCCCCTCGCGAATTTTTGCGATATCTCAAAAACGGCGGCGCGCAGCGCCGCCAAACTTTCAGTACCTTTTCTTACATCAATTTGACACGTTCCCTGAAAATTTGAGCGAAATCCGTCGGAAAATTTTTGAGAAATTGACGTTTTAGTGACGTCATGTTCGTCATTTTCGCCTCAAAAACGGCAAAAGTTCAAACGCCGCTAAGATCTTCATTTTTAAAGGAATCAAGACGTAACAAAAAAGGTTATACGTAATTTTACTTTGTCTATCAAATGGCTATCTCGGTTTTTTGAAAATTTTGGATTTTGGCCTAAATTTTTTCAAAAAACTGACTTTTTCGGGAAAATCATTATAAAATCCAAAATTTTGAGTCTATCGAAAAAACCGGAATATATGTCAGAGAAGTGGTCTATGTGCACCTACATACCAAATTTTAGAAGAATCGGTTCAAAAATGTGGGAGTTATTCAAAATTTTATGACGTCACGACACACAATTTTTTTTGAAAAATGACTTTTTTGGAAGTTCTAGACCTCGTACGGAAACAAAAAAAGCACCATTCGATTCGCCGTGAAAAACTGCATCAGATAGACACCCTTTTAGGCCTTAACAACCAACTTCAAAATTTGACCTCACTTGACCTGACCTTGACCTGACCTCGACCTGAAATTCATCCAGAGGTGGTCCATATCACTTATTGAGTGTGCCTATTGAATTCTATGGGTAAAATGACCCATAAAACATGTGTCGCACATGCCCTTTTCTATATTTTGTTTTTGGTGACCTGACCTGACCTGACCTGACCTTGACCTTGACCTCTGAATGATATTGTATGCAACGAATATTGTCTTGGTAGCCTAAGAACACGTTTTGGGCGATCAGTCTCAGTCCATGACTCCATTCTTCGGCAACTACGGTGCAAGGCCGATACTGTAGAAACTTGCAATTTGTACCCTTGACCTGACCTTGACCTTGACCTCAAACTTTAAATTAAGTACATGTTTTTAGTAGTTCGTGATGAGAGCTTTCGATTGGCGTTTGAATTTTCCAAATCGGACCGTTAGTTCGGGAGATAACAGGGGGGGTAAAATTTACCCCCCCCCCCAGCCCCGCGCGTTCGGCTGGAGACCCCAGCCCCGCGCGGGTTAAACAGCACCACTTTGTGCTTGTATTATTTGCGACCCTCGCTCCCAGTTCACCCACATTTCCGTGCATTCCTAGGCTTTGTTCTCCGCTGTTCCATGCAAAACCAACCCACCATCCTGTGGCAGTCGCAAATCCCGGCGTTTTGATCGACCCGCCACGCTCGACGGCATCCCAAGGCACGGCGCGGAGGCGTCGGCTCGCTCTGTGACTCTTTATCACAGGTGCGCGCGGTGCCACGTGTCGCGGCTGGTGCCGCCCCCAACCAGCTGTGGGCGGCGCGATCTGACGGCTGACGTGATGAGTGACGGTGGCATGTCGCGCAGGAAACGCGGTCCACGGTCGCTGGAGTATTGTGCCGTCTCGCCGTTGCCATGGCGTCAAGCTATCTCATTTTTGGTCGCTTAGTGGAAAAATGCTGGCTGTAGGGACTAGGAAATGTATTAGCTGGCTGTATATTTCTCTAGAGATGCCTGCTGGAGCTGGCGGAAGTCGAAATGCTCAAGAAGATGGGTCTATTTGTAGTGTTGGTAAGTTGAGCTTTGTTCGCCGCAGCTGCCCTGGTGATTCAGGGCTCATATCCTGCAATGTATCCTGCAGTGTAGCGTTTTCCAGAATTCTGCTTGTGTTACTATCGGATAGGCCCTCGGTAGAGACTACAGAGACTGCTGCCGCTAATGAAAAGTCCGGGGGCCGCTCAAGTGACTGATTGCCGTGTTTGGAACCCGCGGAGGTGTCCCTCAGACCGGTAGTAGGTACTGGCAGTGACCGGCTCTGACGTCCTCCCGGAAGGTGACGGGCCGTGATGGCTCTCCCCTGAGACCGACCCCGGGTGGTCCATCGGTCCGTCGCTGTGCCCCCGCCGACGTCCGTCGCGCGTCTGTCGTCCCTGTTTACCGAGGTCCCCGTCAGCGCCGTCTGGTGGTCGCCGCCGCCGGCCGGCGCCTGCCTCAGTACGGCGTCCGCCAGCCGCCCAGCCGCTATGAAGGTGCCCTCCCGCCGGCCCTGGTGGCCGCTGATCATGGAGCAGGTACGGAGGCGGAGGCCAGCACCGGCGGGCGGCCCGGCCGGCCGGCAGTAGCGCGCAGGCCGCCCGCCCGTCCGGCCGCACCGAGCCCGCCGCGCTCCGCCGTCACTCCTGTCCGCAGTCACCGCGGTACGAAGCCGGAACGACCATGTTCTGCGAGTTCGTGCTGTCGACGAGGCCGACATGGAGTTCGCGCGGTCTGAGCTCCGGCGCTGACGCCTGCTTCCAGGTCTGTGGGTGGTCGCTGACTGTCCAGCGGCCCAGTAGCTGACTGATCGGAGGGTTCGCCCGCTGGTCTACACCGCAGGCTGGTGTTTGTTGTCGACCGCTGTTTGTCGGCTGCTGTTTGTTGTTTGGTTACAGGGATTGACAGCAGCTGTCAGCGGCCTGTCAACTGGTCGGAAAGTCTGGTCGTCATATGACTGGGAGGCGTCATCTGCGTACATGCTTCCCTTCGAATGACCACGATCTTTTTGGAAGGGTGTCCTGCCGCTGTTGCTATGTTTATGCGTTTGCAAATGTGTATATTTGCTTACCAAAGGTCTGCTGAACCCATCTCACTCTTTGTTTGTTTACTTTATCTGCTGTTAGCGTTATGTTACTAAGGTTGATATTCAGTTTATACTTGCAATATTGTGTTGGTCTGGCTGCCGCGAAAGCTCCTACCCGTCTTATTTGATAGTGTATTTTTTACCATAACCCAGTGATATCATTAAAAGCGTGTTGCCTCATTATAAGTTTTATTTCTTTGTAGTGCTTTAGCTTTAACTGCCATTATTTATGTTTCTGAGTTGTGACTCCTCCCAGACCACAGGGCTTCTCATATCACTGAGGCTAGGTGTACCTACTCCTGTGTCCATTAGCTGACCTCCCGCCGTTACCCTGTCGGCAGGATAACCTGCTGGAGCTGAAGCACCACCACCTGGCGCGCTCCCTGCGCTCCGGAGTTACCGACCGCGACCTGAAGCCGGACGCGGCCACCCGCGACCAGCTCAGCATGGTGGTGAACGCACCGCCCACCCGCCCCACCAGCCGAGAGGCGCAGGACCTCGTCTGGAAGTACCGCTTCTACCTCAGCTCGCAGAGCAAGGTGGGTACTCTACTGCAGCTCGCATTGCGAAATGGGTGTCCTACCTCTTTTCTACCGCAGCTCGCAAAGCAAGGTGTATGTTCTACCGTAGCTCACAGAGCAAGGTGGATGTTCTTCCGTAGCTCACAGAGCAAGGTGCGTGTTTTACCGCAGCTCGCGCCTCGCAGAGTAAGCTAAGTGCTCTACCGCAACTCGCAAAGCAAGGTGGGTGTTCTACCTCGGTTCTTCTGCAGCTCGCAAAGCAAGGTGGGTGTTCTACCGCAGCTCGCAGAGCAAGTAGCCCTTGATGCGTGGATTCATTGACTTTCAGTGTTTATCTAGGGGATTTCACATGGATTCGCATCACCTTCTGTTATGGATACTCCCCGTTAAATTGCATTGTTATTAAAAGCGCCTGCCAAAGCTTACATCCTGCACCTAACACATAAACGTCTGTCACTCAGTGCGACCTACTGCCTATTTACTCAGAGTTGCTTTGGGGCGACCCAGCGCCCTGCCATCCCCCCCCCCCACACACACACACACCGTCCTCACGGGGTCTGTTCAGCCGAGGACGGTGTCATATGCTCTATACACGGGGCCAGGGCCGGGCAGGGGCTGGGACGGAGGAGCTCTTGCATCAGCCGGCGGATGTGCCGACTTATGCAGCAGAGGGAGGGGTCTGTTGGAGGGATCTTCTTTGTGTGTTTGTGTCACTTTCTGTGTGAGTGTGTGTGCGTTTATTTGGGGGGGGGGGGAGCTGTGTGTGTTGACTGCAGTGGGAGGAACGGGGGGGATGGAGGTGTGTGGTGCTGCGTCCGGACAGAAATTCGCCGCTGATGTAATATGTTTCCGACCAGCGAACTGCCGCCATGAGTTCTTAGATGGAGTGGTAATGCGAGTTCTTCAGAACGTAGAAGACACCGACAACTTTGACCTGTTATCAAATACTTGTAATCGAATCACTTGAACATTTTCGGGTGGTAATTTTATTTAATTTTCTTATATTGTTGCAAAGAACAATGTTCAGTGTATCATCGCCTTGTGTTCATTTTAAACGAGCTACATATTTGACAGAGCTTGAATACGTTGCCGTCAACAATCTTATTCGATATCTACATAGATCAATTTTTTAAGGATTTTCACGCCAGTTCGAACACGCCACCTAGCCGTGCTGTCAGCTCGGCCAACTTGTATGTACTGGGTTTGCACTTTTGTAAACCGTATCGCACCTATCCCGCCTTACGCTTTGCCTTGGCTTTGGCGGATGCTGTCCTAGTGTATTTAGAGACGGGTGATCGTGCAATGCAGGTCGACACAGACGCCTCACTGGCGTTTGTTTATCATTTCCGACTGAGTCGTGAGGTCCGCGCGGCAAAGACTGCTGCGACTGGACGACTGGCCTGCGAGGTGGCAGCCGGGTACACGAATTGGGCTCCGTTGAAAAGTGAATTGCGCGAGCATTCGATACTGACCTATGGCGTGTTTGGGTTATGCCGAAGAAAAGTTGCGTTGTGGCACATGTGCCGTCCTGTCGCTGAAAAAAGACACGGTCGGGGCTGTCTCCGAAGTAACGGCAGCTCCCACATTCAGACGCTGGCGATGTCCCAGTAATTTTGACTGTAGAGGTAGCGGGTGAGCTAACCCATAAGTCAGCGTATCGAGGACCGAGGCCAAATGAAACTGGTTCGAGATCACAGAAGTCTTGGTGACCCTTGCGGGAGCGCAAATGACTGCGGGATTGATAGCCACGATGCTTGCATTGAAATAATTCGGCTGCAAGACGCCCATCTGTTTTCACCAGCTCACGACTACTATGGACGTCAAACCCCTTGAGACCCCACTTTTTTGCGATAATTCTTAAATGCGTCAACTCTCGTTGACAATATTCTGGCAATGTGTGTTTCAGAACCTGCCGAAACTTTTATTACTAAGGTATTTTGACGCCAAACGATTATGAAAAGTACTTCTCATTCACTCGTAATGCTAAGGTCAATTCAGGCCCGGGCAGAGGCTTGCGCTCGGCCACACTCGAGCCTCGCCACCAGCGCCATCTGCTCTTAATGTCATCTATCAGCGCCCGCTACCGCTACCAGCTACCGCCCACCATCAAGCCTGAATGGAGCGAGAGGCGCGAGTGACCGGTCGCCGGGCAAGGAGCGCCGGAGGGGTAGGGCGGAGCTTAGCGCTGACGTCATTACGTGGCTCCGCCTCATGAGCGCGTAGCCTCTACCCAAACAGCAGATTCGTTCCGTGAAATTTAACATTACGAGTGAATGAGAAGTACCTTTCATAATCGTTTGGTGTCAAAATACCTTAGTAATAAAAGTTTCGGCAGGTTCTGAAACACACATTGCCAGAATACCTACTGTCAACGAGAGTTGACACATTTAAAAATTATCGCAAAAAAGTGGGGTCTCAAGGGGTTTGACGTCCATAGTAGTGCATTTATAGTTCCATATTTATCTGTAACCGAAGGCTCTTTCGTAGGTGCTTTGATGTTCTTCGACTTCAAATAATCAAAGTTCTATAATTCTTTGACTTCAGTTTCAACTTGGCCGTCCTTCGTCATATCGTGAATTGCTTTTCGGGCCACTTTTTATTTCACCGCTGGCTTTTATTCCCCTTACATAACATTGTATCAGGCGTTTTACTCATTGATAAACATTTCGCGGTAAAATCTTTTACATACACAGTGTTACTGGCCTTATCGCCGTTTGGTATCGATTCCGATGAAATTTTCAGGATCCGTCGTATCGTATCGATTTTAATTATACATCTGCCTTTCACTCTGCTTACATAACGTATAATCTGGCCTTTCTCTCATTCATAAACAAATCGTGCTAAGTATTGTTCAGATACAGTGATGCGTGCCTTACCGCCAGGCCTGATGTCAAGCATTGGCGTGCCTCTGCTCTCCAAGTCCATCGTATGCAACTGTGGTCTCTTCCCGTTCCGCCGGGAACCACGTCTCAGCCTCACGGACGAATGTTCACAGGTCACGGGTGTGGACCTGGCCTGCGTCCACGTGGTCCTGGTCCCCGTGTTAGCGTTCGGAGACGCGCCGTGGTCGTCTCCGGGCGCCGAGGGTGTGATCCAGTTTGATCCGGTTTCCACGCGCTCCTCATGTGATTCTGACAGGAGGAGTAAACATATGTCGGACTCAGAAATGAACGCGGCGTGGTAAGGCTGCCCGTCCAACAGCACTTGTGGATAATTCAGGGACGGTGTATGTGTGTGTGTGGTTTACATTGGTGTGATGTTGAATCATGCACCGTTACAGTAGCGGTGAGTCATCTGAGTCGACAAAGAGCCAGTCACAGTCGTGGTGACATAGGATGACACACAGGATGAGTAGTGGTGACAGACTATATAGTCGTTAGACCGCAATCCTCGGGACCTTCTGCGTAACATTCGAGTCCTCGCTGTATGTGAGGCGCCATGAGAGTTGAGAATCTGATACTCTGTTGGAACTGAGCCTGGCGCGCGGCTCCATGTTGATGTCTTTCGTGTCACTGCCCCGGGTCCCCGGCCCCGGTTACCCCAGGTCGTGGCCTATCCTGTCACCCGGTCATCGTCCAGGACCCAGAGAAGCGAACCTCCCGACTGTTGATCTCTCACCTCTCCGGTCGGGCATCACGAGGCGGACGCGTGTCGGGTCTGGACGGCGGCGGCGTGAGGTCTCTGGCGCTCCTCAGCTCGCGTACCCTCGGTCACCCTGCCCCCCCCGCCTCCTCCCCTCTCGGCCGACGCCGAGGGGGGGGGGGGGGCTGAGTGCTGCGTCCAAACACATCTCCCTGGACAGCGGTAATACGGGACGGGGAGGGGGAGGGCAGCCCCCAGCTGACCCATGGCGACCCTGATCGGGTCAAACGGAACACTGACGCAGTGAGGTGGCTGCCCACTGCCCTGCTGACGTAAATAGGGGACTCTGGCAGAGTTGACCTCAGCGCAATGCCGGGGTTATGTAGATGGACAGGGGCGATCGGGTCATAATATAAACTCGAGTGTTGTTTGGGTTGAGACGAGGTGAGCTGGACCACGTAAAGGGCTGCTGAGGTAGCACATTTTGAACTGTGCTTGCAGAACAGATGTTGTTGAAGTCAGTCGTTTTAGTTGGTACTTTTCTCAATACAAGTAGAATCTAAAAACTACATATGCAATATGCCTTCTACATTTTCTTGTTTCCTCTCAACCAGCGTGAATCCTCCCTCTAACCTCACAATGCTCTGGATGTTTCGCTATTCGCCCCATTTATTCCGTATCATCCGACACCCCTCCTGCGCCACTGATTATCAACATCTCCGCGCCCCGTACCACCCCGTGACCGGACGCCCCTGCAGCACTGTTTGTACAGCGCAGCACCCCGGCCGTCACTACCAAACGTTCTGTGCAGACGCAGCGTCGCCGCCTGCCGTACCCTCGTCCCACCACCAGCTGACTGGGCTCTGTTGTGGCTGGCGGCCGTGTCAAGGCTATAATGCAGGACGGGCGGTGGGGTGGAGGCCTGGTCTGCACGGCGGTGTTGGGATCGGTCGTCGACTCGTCGGGTGTATGTGGTGGCTGAGCGGGTTGGATTTGCTTATAAAGTTACGGAGGAGGAAAGTGTTTGATGAAATACGACAGACGTTAAACGACATCGGAAACTCCTTTTTGTTTTTGTCTGTACCCTTGTTTATATCGGAAGAGTGTATCCCATATTTACTAGGACTGTGCGATGTGCGGCGGCGCTGATGGGTTCTGTCACCTGCTTCTGTCTATCCCCTGTCCGACGGTGAGCTGCTGTCTTTGCCCTTCTCCTGTCTGACAACCCCGCTCCTCTCCCGGTGTGTCGTCAGGCGCTGTCCAAGTTCCTCAAGTGTGTCAACTGGGAGCAGACGTCCGAGTCGCAGCAGGCGCTGGATCTGATGCTGCGCTGGGCGCCCATCGACCCGAACCAGGCGCTCGAGCTGCTCGGGCCATCCTTCACCCACCCGGCCGTGCGCGCCTACGCCGTCTGCCGGCTGCAGCAGGCGCCCGACGAGGTGGGTGCCGTGTGCCAGAGGCTGCTTCGATTGGGATATCGAATGTCAGTAGCATCCTTAAATGTTTTGCTAAGATTTTTTGGTAAGGGGCTTGTCAAGTTGCTTGTATCCCGACTTACGGAATGTGTTTGATGACGTTACTGCCGGTTTTGATCATTTTCTTTGTTTTCGTCCCCCCCCCCCCCTCCAAACCCTAGTACTCTCTATACCCAGTAGCTGACCGTCCGCTCTATGTTCAGTGGGTGACCTTCTGGCTTTGTTCCATCCTCGATAACTGACCGTTCCTCCCCTTCCTTCCTCCTCCAGGAGCTGCTGATGTACCTACTGCAGCTGGTGCAGGCGCTGCGCTACGAGATCGAGGAGACCATTTTCGCCGGTCTGGAGGTGTCGCCGACACCCTCCCGTCCGTCATCGCTCATCATCACCAGCCTCAGCGCGCCGCCCAGTGATGACGGGTGAGCGGTGGGGGTACGGGGTGGCCAGTGGGGCTCTGAGTTGGCAGTACGGGTCACTGAGTTGCAGTGCTAGAGTGGTCAGAGTTGCACAGTGTGCTCACCTAGACTGACCCCTATACACTCCGGCCGCCGGGCGAGCGGAGACGGTGAAGGTAAGGGTAGGGGCGTTGGATATAGCGGCGGTGTCGGTAGTGGCGTATGTCTCCCGATCTGGTCTCCGTCTGGTGTTGGTAAGGGATCGCAGCTGCCGGCGATTAAACTCAGTAAACACCTGAGTGTAGCCGCTGCGAGCACCTGAGCAGAGGTGGGGGTGACCAGATCAGAGTTTGTTACCACGCGGTAGAGGGGAATGCACTGCGGCTCCGTGCGGGCACCGAACACTTGTATCTATACCCTCACCACTGCTAATTGCGGCGTGCTGCGAGCACAACCCTCCCGAACACTTGCTCATGTTCTGAGTGCGCCGTGGTGGACCGCTCCCAGACACCCGGGCTGGTGCCGCCGGGGTCTGTGACTGACCCGCTGACACACTTGGATATGAACGGCGCGGTAAACTTTGAGCTCAGCACAATATGGACTGTGTGTTTTGTTTAACCGAGGGGTATATGGTAGACGGGTGTAGGTCGTCTAACTGTACGCCTTTGTTTTCGTTTCTCTGTGGGGTCTCATGGATCTTTCTGTCTGCATGTGTTTTCTCTCATGGCTATTTATTTATATAGCGATTTTTATCATTGCCACTTTGTGTTTTACATTCTTTGCGTCGCCGATGACCAATGCAATCCGGCGCCCCCAAATCCGCCATCATTACATGGTGTGCCATCGAAGCAGTCTGTGGTGTTTCTGTATGGAAATATTTATAATCGTTCATTCCAGTCTGGTCTGTAGCCTATCCTTAGACATCAAACGTTGACCTCGGCCCCCTCACTGACCTCCATCTGCCCCCGTCCCTCGTCTATCACCAGTGTGAAGAGCGAGTGTCCGAGCCCAGTGCCGCCTGCCGGCGAGGATCTCCCACCGGCGTCCTGTCCGGCCGAGGAGCAGGCGCCGCGCCCGGACCCGGCCGGAGGCGATATCACCGACCTCTCTTCGTTCCTGATCAGCCGCGCCTGCCAGAATGCCGTGGTGGCTAACTACCTCTACTGGTGGGTGGAGGCGTCAGCCTATAGCAAGGAGTGAAATTGAAACGGGACACTAATCCTCGTCTTATATCAAGAACTGGAGACTGAGTTTAGAGTCTAATTTCGATGCTTTCGGAGTGAAGTGCAGGTCGATGATTAACTGTCTTTCATTAACTTTCGACGAGCTTGTATTTTTTCAGGGCCATATAGAGGACATGCTTGAAGTCTGATGTCACAAGTTCGGGTTGTTGATATGCTGTCATTGGTTTAGTGTAATTCAGCGCGCCCATTGCCAATGTCATTTACCTTGTAAGTGCCTGACGCCTCCCCCTTCACCCCGCTCATTGTCCCGACATTAAATGGTGCTGTCACTGCTAACGCCTCGCCGCCGCCACCAGGTACCTGCTGATTGAGTGTGACGAGCTAGACGACCCGGCCAAGCAGGACATGCGCGTACGGAAACGCTACCTGGCCGTAATGAAGCGGTTCACTCAGGCGCTGAACCGCGGCGGTGCAGACTGCAGGTACGGAGAGAAAGTGTACAGATCGGGCGATGGAGTGGGTGGGGAAAATGGATCTTAGGTCTGACAAGTGTGGTTCGGAAAGGAGTTCGCAATGGGGTGTGGTATCGATGACGTGGGAACGTGATGAAACCGCGATTTCATGTGAAACCGCATTGGACGAAGGGTTGGAGGCGTTTCGAATGCATTTTTTCATTTTTTCTCCCGAACGACGCGGAAATGTGTATTGAAAGGTACAACTCATGCTGCTCTCCATAATGTTCATTGAAGTCTGATTTACCTTAATACCAGTGATTCACCGCCAGTCTGTGTCTGTCTTTCTTCCACTTGGTCTATCACTCACCCTCCCTGTCAGACGGTGACCGCTTTGCCCCGTCGCAGGGCCACTAAATTCGTCCTGTCGCGGCAGCAGCACTTCATCAGCAGGCTGGTCAAGCTCTTCAAGACGGTACAGAAGGAGAGCGGCAACCGGCGCAAAAAGGTAGGTGTCATCTGCAGTGAACCGTGAGGATAATTTTAGTCTATGAGGATCGGAAGAATTGCAATGTGCAGGTTGTCAGGACTCAGGAGCTTTATCTCGCACCTGCTTATATTTGATATGAAATATTGAAATAAGATATTGTCCTAATACGAACTAATGAGACGACTAATAAAATGCAAGCTGTTGAAGACTAACCCCGCTATCAGTGCTCCTCAGACCACCGATTACACCATTTTGCTGACTTGATTCTCTCCGCTGCCGACTTCAGATCGAGAAGATGCAGTCGCTGCTGGCTGACCCGGACGCGCTCAAGTTCAACTTTGCTACGTTCGACCCGCTGCCGCTGCCGCTGGACCCGGAGGTCCGCATCTGCGGCATCCTGCCCGACAAGTGAGTGCTCTACGGCACTCTACCTGAGTGCTCAAACGGCATTCTGCCCGACAAGTGAGTGCTCTACGGCATTCTACGGCTCTCTACCTGAGTGTTCTTTATTACGGCATTCTGATTGATAGGTGAGTATCCTATAATATTCTACGGCGTTTTGCCTGGGTATTCAATTATAACGGCATTGTGTCCGACTAGGGATTGTCGATTCGGCGGCGGGCGTCGTGCGTCTGCGTGTGTTTGGGGAGGGTTAGGGCTCACAGGTGACGGTTGAGTCACTCAGGGTCACGCTGCGGTGTATTGCGATACAGGGAACGGGCGAGTGGCGTGCCGATCAACGACAAACAATACCCAACGACACTTGTCGCACACAGTGATTGACTCAGTGACAGAGGGACTGGGTAGGCCGACACTGTGTGTATGAATTTGGGCGACTTTAGATCAATAATTGTGTTTTGTATCGTCCGTCTTTTCATCGTCCCTAATAAAATTCCCCCGTCGCTCCCTGAGGGTTCTATTCCCATCCCACTAACTGATAAATCACCTGGTCTGACCGGACCGCCGTCTGAGTGTCTGAGACGCATCGAGTCTGACCGGCCCCGTCCCAATGTCTGAGACTGTGCCCAGTCTGACCGCCCCCCCCCCCCCCCGTCCGTCTCAGGGCGACGCTGTTCAAGTCTGCGCTGATGCCGGCCCGGCTGACGTTCCTCACCGACACGGGAGCAGAGTTCGTCGCCATCTTCAAGTACGGCGACGACCTGCGCCAGGACCAGCTGATCCTGCAGATCATCATGCTGATGGACAAGCTGCTGCGGCGCGAGAACCTCGACCTCAAGCTGACCCCGTACCGGGTGCTGGCCACCAGCAGCAGACACGGTGAGTGAACGGGCGGTCTTTGCAGTCTGACGGGCCCGTATCCAGGGCTAGACTGGACTGTTGGATTGGGCACTTGGGCAGGTTCTGCCTGTGTCAGAGTTGTTAACTTCTAGAGTACCTGAATCTTACTCTTCGGGCCAAGCAAATTAATTACTTCTAGGTTAAGCTAATGTTGCTGATTCTGGTATCGAGTTCCTCGTATTGTTATTGTTTGCCCTAAACATGATCGATGATTTTTGACATGATTTTTGACATGATTTCTGTGATTGTTATACGGTGAAATCTTCCAAACTGCGAGCAGACTTTGCGAGATATGATTCTCTGCTTTTCTCTGCAAAGTATAAGATGTGTTTAACACCACCTCCGCACAGTCACTGACAGTCTCCGCTGCCATGCTGCATCCGGCAGGGTTCGTTCAGTTCATCGAGTCGTCAGCCGTGGCCGAGGTGCTTAGCACCGAGGGCAGCATCCTCAACTTCTTCCGCAAGCACCACCCGTCCGAGACGGGCCCGTACGGCGTCAGCGCCGACGTCATGGACACCTACATCCGAAGCTGTGGTCAGTAATTGTTACATTCTGCCTGTACCCTATCCAAAATCGTCTGTCTGCCGATACTGTCTGGGTCTTGTTTTTCCAGTGTGTCCTATGTAGTGTCTCGTATGATGATTTGATTCTCGTTTTTGTGCCAGTCTTGACGGATCTTTTGTGGTAGTATTTGGAGTGTTATTCTGAGTTTCTAATTGCGGTTTGTGACCAAGGCCGTAGTATCCATGTCGGCGTCTTTGCCTTTGAGATCATACCGCGGCGTGGTGTAGTTGTGTATATCTCGGCGATAAGAGACGCTGACGGTACCCAGACACCGGCCGGCGGCGTGGCCTCGAACGATGACGGCTGTCAGCCGCGACTGAGGACGTGTTTTGGACGGCATCACTGATAGCCTTCGGGACCATGTGGCGGTTCGTCGTGACACGCCTCTAGGGTCTGATGTAAACAGATAGTGTACGGTATCAACCGCCTTCTGCTGTTCATCGATATAACAATAGTTATCAGTTTATTCTATTTCCAGTTATTTTGGGTGGGCTGTTCAGGACTACCGGTTTTATATCGGGGCCTTCAGAAGGACTGCCGGCTTATATGTACTTAGTTGGTTTACTTACAGCCATTATTTCAACGACCAAGAGACTGACCCTTCCCCTTCCTCTCCTTAGCGGGCTACTGTGTCATCACCTACCTGCTGGGCGTCGGTGATCGGCACCTGGACAACCTGCTGCTGACCAAGTCGGGCAGCCTGTTTCACGTCGACTTCGGCTACATCCTCGGCCGCGACCCCAAGCCGCTGCCGCCGCCGATGAAGCTCAGCAAGGAGATGGTGGAGGCGATGGGCGGCATCAACTCCGAGCACTACCAGACGTTCCGAAAACAGTGCTACACTGCCTTCCTCCACCTGCGCAGGTAATGCAATACGGCACAAAGGGTGCTGAGGTAATACAGTGTAGCAGTGCTGTGTAAAGGCAGGCTACTCAGCGTTTGTCTGGCCGCGTTATCTTTGCACGGAAATTTACCAATGGATTAGCGCAGCGCCAGTACCTTTCGCAATGTCTCTGCACTCCCCACATAGATGTCGCCCTGTGGAGCGGTCGCTCACACCGGCTGACCGCTGACGTGCGTCCACAGGCACGCGGATGTGATCCTGCACCTGTTCTCGCTGATGGTGGACGCAAACATCCCAGACATCGCGCTCGAGCCCGACAAGACGGTCAGGAAGGTCCAGGACAAGTTCAGGTGGGTCCGGGGCAGAGCCGGGGGTGAGCGGGAGGCTGACGAGTCAATGCATATTGCACAGCCTGGGGACGGCTGGTGGAACGATGGTGACTTTCTAAGCGTTCGTTGCCAGACGAGCTTAGCTGAGGGGTTAGAAACAGTAGCAAGCGAGGAATGTGGTAGGGATGGATAACATGAACTTATTTTCCCTGACACCGATTTCATCATTAGGCAATCACTTTTTTACTTAATTAGCAGCACAATTCAATAATCAAGCAAGCAAGACTGATTTTGACGTGAAATGAAACTCATGGAGAGGAAAATATGATTCAAGATGAAGTGGGCTACTGCATAGACCTAATTAATTTCTTGATCCCGCAAGCATCTTAATTATTGATTCTTGATTATACTGAATTAATATACGGAAATAGCAGACGGCAGTATGGCAGCAGACGACTCTTCCGTTGGCAACGTTAGCGACATCTCTTTTCATTGCCAGGCCCTATTCTACCACTCGGACGTGTCCCTACTCCCTAGTCAGCCTGCTCCGACCTCACCCCCTGGCGTGGCCTACAGCTACTGTCTGCTAACCTACCCCCACTGTGTGCTGACCTCCCCACTGTCACCTGACCTCCCCCTTCACCGTCTGATTGCCTCTGCCCCGTTTACTGGCCTCTCCCGAATCCCGATCCTCTGCTGACCTCATTGTCTGTTGACCCCTGACCCCCCGTCCCCAGGCTGGACCTCTCAGACGAGGAGGCCGTGGCCTACATGCAGAACATGATCGACGTGTCGGTAACGGCCGTCATGGCCGCCCTCGTGGAGCAGCTGCACAAGTTTGCCCAGTACTGGCGGCGGTAGGGCCGCCCCCGCCCCCGCCCCCGCCCCCGCCCCCGCCGAGGGCGGACCTTCCTGGCACCCTGTGATATAAATGTGAGTGTGTGTGTATATGCCGGCGACCTGTGCCTACTGTCGCTATTTATCGTGTCATTATGATGGTGTACCTTGTATGCAAATATATCGTTTGTATAATCAGTATCTACTCTATTGCTAGTTGTATCAAAAGTGTGAACAAAGTCGAGGTTCCTTTGTTCACTTATTGATCAGATTAGTTACCTGACGACTGCATGAGGTCTTTGATAAGCTATAACCTGCAACAGTTATATTTTCATGTGAAAGATATGAACACATGGGAATCACGTATGCTGGTATGTCTTAACAGACATCAGCTCAATGACCCAACAGCCGACTGACATTATAGGATCTCAGAATGCAGAGCTGGAGGAATGATAGGTCTGCAGTAGAGGTGAGATCGGCTCGCCCGACGGGGTGCCGGGCCCGGTGCTGGGGGTGAGCTGACCTCTGACGGCGGCTGAGGTCACGATGTCGGTCTATTTACCATTTCCCGCACCATCCCGGCATGGCTCACTGTTGGCTGATGTTGGGCTGCGACTAACATCTCGCGACCAGTAACTGTTGACCTGCGATATTTGTCAAGGTTCACGGGATAACCTTAGATCTCGTCCTAAAACGTTCCTGGACACGCAATGTGAATGAGTGTCACTAAGCCACCGGCCACGTTTTGTCGCACTGAAGCTACACCTGTCTCGCGTGACGGCCTGGCCTGGCCTACACCTGGCCTGACTGTATTTTTGGGGCCGGCTTGCACTCTTGCCGCTAGGAAAAGGCTGCATTGCGCTGTCTTTGTGTGCGGTGTGCACCGTGTAGGCGCTTAGCGAACGGTCAGCGGAGTGGAGTATCTTCATATAGGATCTTCAGTGGAGGAACTTCTGGATGTTCATCATGATCGACCCGAGCAGCCGGTAACAATAGCCGGGACACGGTCGACACTACCCAGGTCCCAGCTCCATTGTAGTCTTTCAGTCGGCAGCGACTTCGTTTATCGCTGACCCCAGCCATCACTCCACCTTGTCCTTATCCGGCTGCGCCCTGGCCGCGATCACCCGGAACACCCAGTAGAACAGCAGTGCCACCGTGCCCAGTGCCACGGAGCCGCTGACCAGCGCCGTGCCGAGCACATCCAGACAGTAGTACTGGAGCAGGGTGGGCGCCGGCCGCCGCCGCCACGCGCGCTCGAACAGCAGCAGGTGGCGCACGTGGTGCGCCAGCTGCGCCGCCGGCGAGACGGCGTCATGGCGCAGCGCGTCCGCCCAGGCGCGCACCGCCCGCCGCGTGCCGGCGGACGAGGTGACCGTGGTGACGGCCGAGCGGAGAGCGTCGGCGGTCAGCTGACGGCGGTCCAGCTGAGTGGCCACGCCTGAGGGAGAGAGGGCAGTGAGAGGGAGACAGGGGAAGGTCGAATGGGGAGGTGATACGAGTCCATGCTTTCCTGTTGAATGGTGACATTGGTCACTACAGGGTTGTCTCGGAAGCTCATGAATCAGAGTGGACCCGGATATGAAAGAAATGATTCACTTTGCCATGAAACTGTTTTGACACTGGTGAACTCTCGTCATCATGTTTCTAAGCAACTCATGGCCCTATAGCCCTGAGGGATTGCGGCATACATGCTCGTTTCTACCTCGCTACGTTTCTTTGAACTGAACCGCTAGGTGTCAGAGCACTTCGCCGAAATACCAATATAGATGTCGCCATGGTTGCCATCTGAGACCCAGACTCACCTAGCGCCACGGCCCTGGCGGCAGCCATCTTCTGACCGGCCGTGAACGGAATGCAGATGATTGGCACGCTGAAATGGATCGCCAGCAGGACGGAGGCCGGCGAACACTCGCTGACCAGCAGCCGCGCCCGTGGGTGAGCTGTAGACAGACGGGGAACGGACCGAACCATGTCACCTCACTATAAGCAGAAGTGAGCACTCACGTCTCACGAGACGAAGAGTCCATTTGCATGGAATGAAACAAGCGAAAAAAAAGTAATCGCAGACTCCTTTTGCGTGACAGCCAACAGCATTTGAAGCAATCTGTGGTGAAGGAAACATATTATAAGTGTAATTTACTGAATGGAACCATTACTTTGGCAAACAGGCACAGAGCTCGGTACAGACCACAGACCGATCTATCGAAGCTCTGCGTCCCACCCGATCTTACCGAGGGCGTCGGAGGCGGGTGCCGAGCTGCGGACGATCCTCGGCGCTCCCTCCTTGGTCACATTGCTAAGGTCCATCGGCGTCAGCGGCGAGCCGGTGACGCCCTCTGTGAGGGTGGCCGTGAAGCTGTCCGGCAGGGTGGTGTACGGATGGTCCAGGCGAATGACCAGGAGGCCGGCCGTGCTGACGGCCGACTGCTGGTCCTGGGGGAGAACGGCGGGGGTAAGGGACAGGTCCTATCGGTGGTACTCCTATCCGGGCGAATGGAGGGGACAGGGGCGGAACAGAAACAAGGAAGAACAGGGACAGTGATAGGGATGGGTGCTGGCTAGGGACAGAACCGGACGGGACAGGAGCGGATAGGGACAGGACGGGGCAGAAACAAGGACAAACAGGGACAGGGATAGGATTGGATTGGAAACCTTATATCGCCGTCGCAAGGTTATTAATGTAGAGAAGCAGTACATACATCCGATGCATATAGGTTTAGCCAGCTAAGCTGACGGTCTTCAGATGAGTTAGAATTCAGAACTGTCCCGTGCTGTCGTGTCCCGCTCCTCCGTCTCACCTTGGGCAGGTCGCCGAAGCGGGCGCACTCGATGCAGCCCAGGAAGCGGAGCCGGTGGTCGCACGGCACGTCCTGCTGGAGGCGCGAGTCGCCGCTGACGAACACGGCCGAGACGCGCTCGTAGGCGGCCTCCAGGTCGGTGTGGCCGACCAACGCGGCGGCCGGCACCTGGTACTGGCGCTGCGTCAGCCGCGTCACCGTCCACCAGCGCCACAGGTTGCCCAGCCGCGCGTAAAAGTCGCCGTCGCCCAGCGGGTAGCCGTGCACCGGCAGCCGGCTGACGGGGTAGTGACCGCCCAGCTGCTGCGTCACCCACGGCAGGCCCACCGACGAGGGCATCAGGCCCACTACGGCTGCGTCCGGCGCCAGCGCCAGCACGCACGCGTCGTCCAGGAACAGTGTGGTGATGATGAGGTCGGGCCGCAGGTCGGCCAGCACGCCGGTCCGCTGCAGCGCGCCGCAGCCGGCCAGCCGCGAGGCGACCACCGCGTCCGGAGTGAGCAGCGGATGCCGCTCCCAGCGCTCCAGCCACGAGAGCCGCCGGCCCGGGTCAGACTCGGCGGTGGCCAGACGGACGGTGGCGGCTGGCGGCGCCGGCTCCGGGCCCAAGTCGCCGTACAGCACGGCCGTCACCCGGTGATCGGCTGCCAGCAGCTGTGCCAGCTCGGCCACCAGCAGCTGCGCCTCCTGGTCGGTGGTCACCAGCACCACGTGCTTGGCGGCCGCAGCGTCGGCAGCGGACAGCGCCGCTGGCAGAGACAGCACGGCCAGCGCCGTGAGCGCGCACGCCGCGGCACGGGGGAGAGTCATCATCGCGACCGGAGGATCCCGGGAGCACTCTGTCCAGCGCTGCCTCCACCACTGCTCCGACCACCGTCACCGTCACGGCTCCGACACACAGTCACCAGCTCAGCGCCGCCCACAGCTGGGGCTCAGCGGCGTCTCTCTGTGCCGAGAGGGTGACGTGGCGCCCCTGCTCGCCCGCCCGCGTCTGCTGCGCTCATCCCGACGAGCCAGTCAGCTGGCCATGTTTATATTGAGTCCGCTCTAAACGCCGGAGACGGAGAGCGGCATGCCCGCGGCAGCAGCCGGACGTTGAACTCTGCACGGTACGCAAACTCCGGGAATGTAGTTTGTTACATTCGCCGCTGGCCCGTTCAGATCCGGAGCCGATGTTCAAACTGCTTGTTTCGCAGAGTTCGAACATCATTCGTTCAAAACTTTCTGTCGAGACCACTAAAGTTGAAAGATTACATATTACGATTATTTGGTGGCGACTGCAACTCTGCAGGCTAAATGATGAGTTTGGTCAATAAGGGACATGTTTGGGTGTCCCGATACAAATATAAAAGCCATTTGTGGCTGGCGCCAGTTATTGGTAGCTAGGGAATGAGTGAATTATTCCAATCTACATATGTATAGGTGACCATCTAACTCTACACATCACATGCTATGATAGGATGTGATCATCTTCCCACGTCTAGCACTATACAAGTGGTATGGAATACGTTCTCATGTACCCTAACTTCAGTAAGTACCTAATGCGATACTTAACCTTAGCCGGTGCTGGAACTCCTTCCCGTATCTCCTTTCCCTATGCAAATTCAGACCATCTCGGGCGGCAAATGTGTCTCCAGAGTCCAGACCCGTCTTGCAGAGGTCATCCATGTATTCTGCATTCTGTTGCATCGACTGACCACAGGCCTTGCAGCCCACTACAGTGGCGGTCACAGTGTAAGCTATATGGTGACTCAGCATCCGCACACGACGTAGACGGCACATTACACGTACAGTTGACTACACTACAGAATGACGTTTTGTTCTTCACGGGCGATGAGTTGCCTGGATAGGTAGGCTGTGCCGCATCACACGGACTGTGTTCACACTTCACAGCTAATGCTCTAGACCAAGGCTCACCAATCACCATAGCCACTTTAAATTGCGTAAAAAACGGTACCTACAACTTAGCGTTCTAATCGACTGATAACTTCTGAAGAGTGGAACATCAATGCAGTCAACTTTACGCCCCCTGAGAACGAGTAAACTGTCCGATAAAACGGAACACGATGATGCCAACATGTCAGCAGTGAGTGTATGCTGCAAGAAGCGGTTACAGAGCGCAGGGATACGGACAGTCAACCCTAACTTCACAGTATTCACACGACCGAACGGTACGTGTAACAGCGCCGCCTATTGAGACCGTCTGTTGGGGACTAATAGGCCAAAGACTGCACTATCAGGTGCATATGGAGGCAGTCGATCCTATCGCAATACATAAGCGGGATTCAATCGAGCACTGACCAAGCGGTTCAGAAGGCACACATAATCAAGACTGGAGTCATTTCCCTCGAATTTCGATGCCAGCCACATCAAGAAACGATGCCACATTTCTCGAGCCGCACAAGGTGCGTTTTGCTGCATCGCTCCAAAAAAAGCTGCCGTACTCAGCGATCGAAGGAACGTGAGCCTTGTAAGTTGTAGGCATCATGTTCGATTGAATTTGACCCGCCGGGGACATCGAGGCAACTGTCTCCATCTCCTAGTTCTCTGTCTTCTGCCCTCGGACCATGGGAATACAGCGGCCACATCATTTAATTTCTAAGTTCGCTATCCTCTGCCATTCCCTCGGGTCAGGGTCACCTGCTCTGTGACTTGTCGGTCCTCTGAGGCTCCTCGACCAGGGTGACGGGTGGCCTCAGCGGCCGCTGCCGGCACCGACACCGTCCTCTGTAGGTCACTGGCGCCGACCTGACAGCGCTCGGCGCCCGCAGCGGTCATTATTTAGCGAGCTTCTCGCTGGTCGCTGCTCTAAAAGTCATGATCTCTAATGCACTGTTAGAGGCGGTCTGTAGCAACAGAATGTGTGTGGATGTTGATGCACAGACATGGCGGTAGGCACAGTAGTTATCTTCGACGAAAAATTGCATGCCTTTGTTATCCTTAATGTTCCAATCATGTGCTATTGTTTTTGGGTCAAGTATGGTTTACTTGCCTGTTTATTATTAATGTATTATAATTCATATTATCGATTATTACTTAATGTTTACACAATTATTTTTATATATTACGCCTTATTTAACATTTTAACCCGTAATTCGCTTTGCCTTTCTTTCTTAGTTTCTGTATGTACACTCTTCCTCTCTTTATCTCTATCTCCCTTTGTTTTCCATTTTCCCTCCTCTCTTCTCTTCCATCCCATCCCCTCCCGCTTTGGTGGTGGTCCCCAGAGCTCAATATCCCGTGTTTTCCACCAGCATCCGGCCGTGAGCGGTACATAGTCACGCACACAGCCCACCGGCCTCTCTATCGCCCCCCCCCCCCCCGGCCCCCTGCGCACCCGTCTAAACGGTAGGTATAGCTGTGTGCAGAGGGAGTGATGACACACTGTGCGAGTTTGCAATTTGTAAAGTACGTCTAAGCCTAAAGTCACAAAGCAACCACTTATATCCATGCGTTTAACTTGCAGTCGGACATCGCGCTTTTAGGAGCGGGCTCGATCCTCTCACCGTTCCAAGTCTATAAAGGTGAGTGCGAGTGTCGAGGGTCGTCTACCCGCCCGAGTGCCCCGACACGAGCGTGTCTGAGTGTCCGCTGAACGCACTCTGCCGGCGAGAGGTCCGCTTCGTCGCTGATCGCTGACAGACGGATATATCAAATAACTGACAAAAGTAGGGTCGAGTGCCTAGTAAAAAGTGCAGCAAAAATGTAAGGAAGGAACAGCGGTTAATGCTAATTGATGATCACGTATATGTTAATAATTCTGCAATGTTTTCATTGACACTTTTCCATGAAATTCTTGAGACTGGATAAAATAATGACAGTTTCGATGGAAGATAATATCATGAATTAATGTACGTACCTATAGTAAAACTGCGAGCAGATAGGACAGGTCTGCAGGCGGGACGGTTAACAGGCCGAAGAAAACATTGGGACTTTCTTCACTTTAGACGATTTTTCGGTGTTTACTGTTTACGTTCTTGTTTAAAGACATCTATCATAGTGTTACGGCTCGCCTTATTTTTGCCAGTTTACGATGACATGTACACGTACAACAATATTTCAAAGAATAATACGTTATTCCCACGCTTAAAGACAGATTGCGCGAAATTGTCCCGCGGTTGCGTATTGGGTCTGCAACAAAGGAAAGGGATATATGAATGAATGCACGTGTCATTATACTTGGCCTACATTACCAAAAATCATAGGTAAATAGAGTACCTATTGCAACGCAAAATAATAATGCTCTGGGATTAAAAATGTCTTTCTTTCCTATCTAATATTTTGACAACACATTTTTATTATCAGGCCAATGCTCCTCATGCTCTTCAGCATTGTATTTCATCATGTCTGGCTGCAGAGACGGGCCGCACAGAAAAACGTGTGAGGTCATTGACCGATGCAGTTTTGGTCGGCAGCCTTCGAATATGCGGCAAATACTAAAGTGTGAGAAAAGTGTGGTCTCTTGGTGCTTACAAATGGAAGTGAACATCTATAAATACCTGTGGATATAAAGAAGCTGTGCCTGAACATTACTATGTTCAAGCAGTTTATTTTTCACTCCTCATTCGTCACCTGAATGGCCACCGAAGCATCTGTTCTCTTCAGATACATCAGGTAAGACGTACATTTTACATAGGTATAATAGAAACAGCATTCTCGTGGTGCTCATGAACATTATGACGCTCATGGACGTGATGAACGTAGGTAAGGGGTTAGGGAGCATTACCCTCATCGTTCCGTTTAGGGTTTTCCGGTAATTTATTTAGGCCATTGTTTAATGGACATAAAAGGTATGTTTATTTTATATTCTATGCTATAGTTGTTGACATTAAAAATGTATTATGAAATTCCTTTAGGTATGCTCATATGGATGTTGGTTGTAATAGTGCACTAAATATAGTCGCTTTACTGATCACTTAGCTACTTCACCTCCGACACATCCTTACATGTCTGTCTAACACTGACATCTCTGACAACGCTCTTGTCTCTTGACATGTCGAAGTGGCATCGATTCCCCTTCCTCATTGCACTGCGTCTTTGCACCTGTCAATATCTAGCTGAATGACATCTTAACCAACGAAACCTTACAACAGCTTACTACAATCTACTACAATAGTCGGTGTTTGCAGTGGGCCGATAAGATAGCCGGTCGGAATTCAACAGACGAACTTTTATGATTACGTGAGCGCTGAGCGTTCGGCGGTGTCCTCACTCATAACCCAAAAGATTAGCGTCTGGCTGAAAAAAGACCGCCACCACGATAAGTGTGAAGCGAGCTGTAATGCAGACGCACTGATCATATGAGATGTAACGCGTGGCTAGCAGCTCCGGTCCTTAGGTGCGCACTCGATCCCGCCATCGGTGCCCGCCGGTCCCACATTGCCGTGGGCCGCCGTCGGACGCTGTGATCCCGGTGAGCACAGGTGAGTGAGACGCCACCTGCCGACCGCGGCGGAGGCCGGCATTGAGCGACGCCGGCCGCCCGTACAGTCGCCCATACAGTCGCCTTCTCGCGGCTGTCGGAGCGCCAGTGCAGATACAGCCTCCGCCGCGCACGGCGCACGCCGGCAGACGGTGGGGCAGTGATCAGGTGGAAACAGTCGTATTTCCAGCCCCGCCAGGATCAGGAGATCCCATTCCGGAGATCCAGGTGCGTGTCCGGGTGCGTGTTGACCGACCGACCGACCGGCAGAAAGACAGGCGGACCAAATGACTGACCAACTGACGGGCAGAAAGACAGACAGACAGACCAAACAACCGACCGACCGACCGACCGACAGGCAGAAAGGTAGACAGACCAACCGACCGACGCAACGGACCGACCAACTACCAAACAACCGACATATTCCTTTGAAACTATCAACGAGTCATAAAGAAATAGGGTGCATGAGACATGTAGGCATACACATTTAATTTTCGATACAGGTGAGTGGTGACTGAAGGTCGGATCAATTTCGCGGCCTTTTTATTATAAGTTGC